TGAACAACAGCAAGCCTTCCGAACCAATGATGCCCTTTTGAGAGATTCAATACGAACCAATGATGCCATTTCCTAGGACTCATCAGACTCTTCATCAGAAGAAGTATCACTGTATTCATCACCCACCCGCTTCGTAATCGTGATCCGTTCCATACTTCTGCCCTCACGGCTTGTTATTGAGTAGTCCCTTATTTTCAAGTTTCATCGGTTGTTGTTGTTGTTGCTGCTATTTATCAGTCCTTATTATCATGTTTCATCCAAATATTGTTGTTCTCACGAGTTGCAAATGTTCTGCATGTACTATTTGTATTTTGCCAAAAATCGTTATGCAATTCCGGGCGGATCTGCCTAAAGCTTTACAAGACATACACCCTCTCGGTTGGAATTGAGGCAAGAGTTGTTGTGCAATAAAGTACATAAACAAAAGCACTCAAATGATGCATCAAGAAACGTTGACGTCTTCCACATTACCACTGTCGATACTGTCACTGCAACAAGTAGTTGATGGCTTTTAGTGCAAGGTCATAGTGTGGTTCAACGCAACTCCCCTTTTATGTTAGACCCTCGCCAACTCACCAACAAACTCGCTGGAGTATTTTGGCTCGAGTTAAACCACTATGTGTCACTCTTAATTTCGTAAAGAGGTTGTTAAAAATTACAAAAAAATGAGTCAACGAGAGGAAGGGAAAACGGTTTTTTCCTTCTCTTCATCATCATCGTATCAGGAAGATGATTCTACTGGTCGAATGTCAGGAGCCAGGAGAATTGCTGTAACTTCCCGATGGTTGGATGATACTGTATCTTCGGGAAATTCATCTCCGGTAGGCTCACCAGTGATCAATCATATGGTTGTGGTGGATGAGATCCATGATGTCAAAGTAGAGGTCTTGGAGGCTGGTTTGCATAGTAGAGGAGCATCATCATCGTTTGATTCTAAAATTGATGAACAGTTTGGAAAGATTGAGAGGAAGAAACAACGTATTAACGTGGTGTCCTGGAGTGCCACAAATGATTGGTGTTCCAAGGTCTGTCATGATGACAATGATGACAGTGATGAAGATGAGGATGAGCGAATGGATGATCAACAACATGTCAACAACACCAATAGAAGGAAACGATCCACTCTTCAGAAATTGGGTGAAATGGCTCCCGATTTGATTTTGCTACAAGATTTGAATTATGAACAAACCATGAAAGCAATGAAATACTTGACAAAAGCTGAAGAACATTTGCATGATGCGTACGATGGAAATGAAGAAGACTTGGAGCCTCCTGTTTATAAATGGTTTTGCTGTGGTCACAAACATACTTCCGAACCAGTCAAGGTCTCCAAGTCCTGTAATTCCGATGATGACGATGAAGGAGTACCTTCCTCCCTTATATCTCCACTAGCATCCATGGGTGGTAATCAATCCATCATTTCTGCCTTGTTGAAAAATGATGTGAAGAAGAAAATTGAGGCCGACCAAGATCCCGACGACTTGGTCAATGAGTATTTACCAATTATTTATAATTCTGAGACGTTAAAGTGTGTGGATTGTGGTGCGTTTTGGTATAGCAAAACTCCACAAGAGGCAGGCTCCAAGTCGTGGGATAGTACTGTACCACGTTTTTGTAATTGGGGTGCTTTTATTTTCAAGCCCTATGATGAAGAGGATGACCACATTGATTTACTTGTATTTAATACACATTGGGATCAAGGAGTGGAGGCAAGAAGATATGCTTCCATATTATTGAGACAAGAAGTGCTAAACAGAATGTCTGTCTACAATGCTATAACCAATAGAACCACTTTTATTCCTACCATCATTGGTGGAAATTTGAACAGTTTACCAAGATCCAATGCTCTCAGCATTTTGGTTCAAGGACAAGATTTGGGTGCACACAACAGTGATGTTAATTTATTGGCAGACAGTGACGATGACGATGACGATGAAGATGAACAAGTTGAAAAAATTGATAAGGAAAGTCTCATCATTCCATGCCAGAGACAGTTAATGCCTCCTCAAGCTGCTGGAACAACATTACAAAAATCCGCAACTGTTAAAAAAGAGGATGACAAGGATTTCGTCAAGATAGAAGAAGTGAGCGAAGAGGAAGAAGCGAGTGACGCATCCTCAGAATCTTATTCAGGAACGTGGTTCCATAACCTTAATTTACAACCCACCTTTGTTGATTTTGAAACCAACACGTTCGAAACAGTAGATTATCTTTTTGTATCTCCCTGTGTGAAAACCATGAATTTACAAATACTCGATGCAGATTTAAGTTGTGGCGAAACACACAAACCACATGTAGCCACATTGGAAATGTGACACCATTAATGGGTCTGTCACTCTCGCATCTCACCTCTTTTACTGTATTTATTATATTTATGAAACATACAATTTTTCACCCTTCCAATTAATTGTAATTTATTATTGCATTTTCTATGAATTGTTACAAGATAATGGATTGTTTCGCAATCCAAATTCAAATTCGGTTTCATGATTACAATCAAATTCATCTTTCCAAAAAAATGAGTCAACCACACGACGACACTCTTTCCGAAGAACCTCTCGGAGGCGGAGAAGGAGGAGCAAATCCTTCAAACTCCTCTCGTCATCACTATTACAGCCTTGCTGCAGAAAATTTTTCAGCACCTCAAAAGAAACGTATCGGTTTAGGAACGTTGGCTATTTTGTTCGGAATTGGATGCGTGATTATTTCAGCATTGATCGTTTTGATTGTTGTGAGCGCAGTGTTGTATTGGGGCCCTGGACAAAACAAAAAGATTTATCCCAATCCATCGTATACACCCAGTAGTGATTATTTACATTTCATTGTCGTTGGAGATCAAGGAAGAGGAAATGATGAACAGAAAAAAGTTGCTGAGAGTATGGCTCGATATTGTAACTTTGAAAATGGAATGAATCCACAAAAATTGCCATGACAATTCATTATTGGAACTGGAGACAATATTTATGATAATGGAGTGACAGATGTCAATGATGTGCAATTTAAAACAAAATTTGAAGATATTTATGTCCAAGAGAGCTTGAAGAATTTGGATTGGTATTTTGTTTTGGGTAATCATGACTATAGAACAAATCCAGAAGCTCAGATTGCATATTCACAATTGAGCAAGAGATGGAAGCTGCCTAAACAATTTTATAATTTTGACAAGATTTCTACTGAAAACAAATTTAAAGTGTCATTTGTCATGTTAGATACAAATCCATTTGTGAACAAGTACTTCTCAGATTCAAGAGCTAATCAAACAGCATTGAACCAACAACGAGCATTGAATAACGAACAAGTCAAAATGGTTGAGAATATTTTGAATACCAATATGAACAAGAATGATACATGGACTTTGGTTGTGGGTCATCATCCATTGTTTAGGTATGTATTTGTTTGTGGCATTCATTTTTGTGTTTTTAATATTTTGTGATTGAAATTTGCATGTGAAAAATATCTATTGATTTTTGTTGATTGCGGATTGAACTAAAATGGTCACAAAAATCATGGTGTTGTGTATGTGCATGATGAATTGCCAACGTCGTCCTTATTGCTTGACAGTGCTGGATCACACGGTCCTGTCACTCAAGAACTTGTAGATAATTTTGAACCTCTCTTTGTGAAATACAAGTTGCCCATGTACTTGTGTGGACATGACCATTTGTTAAATTGGCTTTCAAATTCAGATAGTGCTTTTCCAACACAGTATGTCATTTCTGGTGGAGGTGCTGGAAATACACGACCCATGATTTACAACAAGTACTCATTGAATGATTTGAACGATTCTGGATTTTTCTCTGTTGAAGTTCAACAGAGCTTTATGTTTGTGAGAGCTTTTGACAAGTACGGAACTGAGGTTTGGAAATTTAAAATTTCGAGGCCTCCTCAATAAACGTTGATCAAAGTGATATTACAAGAGCCGAATCTCTTGTTAATGGAATTGGTGAACTTTACCTATTTGCATCTGCAATCAACAAAAAAAGATGACATCCACTAGCAACGCTGCAGAGCAGGCGCACCAGTAATCACAACGTCACAAGCTTCAATCATCATTGAAAAAACCAACTTTGCAGAATAATCACTTGACCATGCTCTTGTTTTTGGTGTATGAAGTTGAGAATTTATTTCTGTCATTCCCATCTCGGTGGATGTGTTGTGGTTTCAACAAATTAACACTCAATTAACACTTCATTTTCGATCAAGATTGAACTCTCAATATTCTAACTGCCAGTGACACAAGTAACACAATCTTTTAATAGGTTTGCCAGCATCAAACATCAAAAAAAATTAAAGAACCTTACTCTTCTTCTTCTTTTGAGAAGGACCAGTAAATTCAATGTCCAGCCTGGATCCTTTTGGTTCTGCTTCCTCTTCAATAATTCTCTCAATGGTGGCTGTGGCAGAAGGTGACAAGACATCCCACACAGAAAACAAAAATTCAAACGTCATCAACACAATATTCGTCAAGCAGGTCACAACAAGTAGCGAATAAGCATTATACACCGATCCAGCAGCTGCTGTTGTGCTCACATTTTGATTGGACACCACACTAGGAATGCCACCACTCAATGTCACAAATGCCTTCGAATAATGTCTCAAGAAAATTCCAAATTGAGTCCACAACACGACTCCAACAAAGATGAAATCTCTCTTAAACTTGGAAAACCATAAAGCAATCACTGAAGCAATTGTAACCATTGTTGCAGACCATTGTTCTTCATTCAATAAATTAGCCACATATCCACACATGGATGCAAATGAAAGAATGGGATGTTTCAATACATCCATTTGAAATATATACAATGTATCTTTTTGCTTGGAAAAGACATCACTGAAAGGTTGGATCACATCATATTGCAGAATGACCAGACACGAAGCAAGTAATGCCATTGTGATCCATGCCAAGTATACTGTAAATGGTAAACGAACCCATAAAGGATATTCATGAGCATGTTTTCCATATCGAATACGAATGGCACTCGAATAAATAATAAATAAATTCATCCAGAGAGACATGAAAATCAAATGTGCAAGGAAAATATTGTCATAGCAAAATGCAAGGATCCAACACGTATTTAACACATTCGATAATAAAAACCATGGACCAACGACACGACCAATTTTCTCACTCTGTGCTCGATTGGAATTAATCACTGAGAGGAAACTAAATAGAAAGAGTCCTCCATAAATCACAAGCCAGATGTGGAATGTGTAAGGTAAGGGATAGAAGGCAACGTCGTATTTTCTGCTCACGCTTTCCACAGTTTTTGCATTTCCAATGTAGTAAGTGAGAGTATTGTGAATGAGTTTTGAATAGTAGGCAGAGGGAATGTACTGAGTGAAGAGTTGGAGGCCTTTCTGATCCACTACAAACGAGCGAACGAAATTGGAGAGAAAGGTCTCTGTGAAAAAAACATTCACGGCCAATACTCCAATGAGGGAGATGAAATTAATGGTGTTAATGAGGTGACCAATCATGTAGTGCAAGCAAAGTTTCGAATGGGAAGCGTGTACACAAATTTTTGTGTGTGTGCTGTTCAATGTGTAACAACGATATTCTTCAATGCAGCCATTTAGCTTAATGGACAAATTAGGATCATTACCAAATTTTGGAAAATTTTCAAAAATATTCAATTACTGTCGTCAGTTTGAGAATGGCTTCTCCTCATGGAAGCACCAATGAATCGAAATTGTATTGATCTGAAAACTGGTAATGTTAAAAAAATTTCTGAAATTGGAAAAATCATATAGTTCACTTTTCCTCTCAAAGAATGGATATCCTGAAATATTTGAGCCAATATTCAAGTTGTCGTAGTAATATAACCAAAGTAGAACTGTTTTTCATCAAAAATGATCATCAAGTCGTGGCATGCATTCATGCATAATGTCTAATTGTCCAAATTTGAGAAAGTAGTACAAGTCTTCTGTTCTTGAAAAAGTCATTTGGTTATATTCATGAATAGGAGTTATTTGAAGTGAAATGGCTCCCATTAAGCATCTCCAAATGAATGTGTTTCCTAGTTGTGTGATAAAGTCATTCTGTTCACTGAAGTTGTCATCATCATCAAAAGTGGAGCTTCCAAAAGCACTTGAGGATGAATCTCCTTTTAGCCAAGGATATGCACTTTCCAAGTCCTTTCCTAGTATTGCAGAAAAGTTCTCAAGCCCAACCTCAGTAATGGACATGGAAATTAGATCCCCTAAATTATAGAAAACATCCATGTCAATATCAACATTAGGATTCAGGTCACTATAAGGAAAATCAATGATAAATGTCATTTTCACAAAATCGCAATTCCAGTTCACAAATATTCCCTCCACTTGCATGGTTCTTCGAGTAATATTCATGGACTCAATGGTTTCCTCTTCTGTTTCCTCCTCAATTCTCTTGCAGAGTCGAGTAAATTTAAATGTTTCTTCAATAATTGACAAGTCGCTTACTAACGAGTCAAGATCTTGCTGATGATTCTCCAAATAATTAGCTGTGGTCCTGTAGGCATCCACTTGATTGAGAAAGGCAACAAACAGTTCAATTCTTTGTTGTGTGTTCATTACAATATTGGTCGAATAGGTTTGAATGAGATGTAAGAGAGCTTCTCGATCTAATTGTTTCAAAGTCATCATTGGAGTCCCATTTTCATTCGTATCGTTTTCATCATCGACCATTAATCCTTCATCATTGGCAAACGTACGATCGTTAGAAGTCATGATACTTCCATTATCATCTGCTGTAGATGTCAACATCGTCGTCATGGATCGAACATGACGAACACTCAGTGCTAGAGCATCATTCCTCCTCAAATGTTTGTACAAGGTCTCAAATGTAGCGTGATCTTTTCGTGTTTGTTCGTTGGACATGAATACTTGTCCAAATTCAATTCGTTCCATCAGTTTTTTAATGGCACTACTACTTGATGATGAGGAATAATCCCGATATAAGAGTAATTCCCAAATTGATTTTTCTTCATCTTCGGAATCATCATTAGCATCATTGTAATCCTCTCCTCCTCTATGTTGATATAAAAACGAATTTCCTTCATTGTTTTGTCGTATGGAAGGATATAAACAACTCGTCCAGCCTTTACAAACATACGGCATGGATGTAAAAGTGGTTTCAAAATCCAAGAATAGTAAAATCCTCTGCACGATGGCTCGTACCCATGCTGGGGGTATTGGAGAAAATAGTGATATTAGCCCTATTTTGTCTGCTGATGAAGAATGATTGTGAATGCCCATGATTGCATCTCTTCCGAAATCATTACCATGATCGTGAGAATTCATGTAAATCATTTCTAACAATATTATGTTATTTCTAATATTTTTTTTTGTTAAAGCTTAACACTATCAAAAGGATGCACTCCTCAAATCAAAAATTATTTTCATTCAGCTTACGGACCTCAACAATGATCATGAGTATTTATGTGTTTTTCATTTCAATTCCAGTCGACTCGAGAAGAATTCACAACAAAAAAAATGCCTCCAAAAAAGAAGGAAAAAACCGTTACATCTTCTTCCTCAAAAAAGAAGCAAACAACAACCACAAATACTTCAGATAATTCTAGTACGAATCGGAAACATAAGCAACAAAAAAGACCAGCTGAAGAAGAAGAAGAGCATTTACATCCTCCTGAGGATGATGATAACATTATTGATGATGATGACGGAGGCGATGAAGAAATTGTTATCGGAGAGCAATCGCTCTTGTCTGTAGGCAGTAGTGGCGCAGCAGGCAACACAACAAAGAAAAACAAGGAATCAACGAAAAATAGCAATAACGGCAGTGAAAAGTTGGATCCATCCCGAAAGAAAACCAAGCCCAATGACTCATATGCTGCCACTACCTCTAATTCAACTTCTTCAAAAATCAACAAAGAATTACAGAGCTCAGAAATGGACACTACATCGAACGGTGATCAACAAGGATCCACAACAATATCAGTTTCTTCAACCTTGAATGCATACAAAATTGTAGATGCTCATACTGGAAAGAAAAAGACAATTGGACCAAAAAACAAAATTACCTCTCTCAATCAATTGAGGCATGCAATTTGTGAAGTATTCAAACTAAAATCAGTGAATGATATTGAGTCCATTCGAAACCTGGACGATAAAGACATTACGGATGCTGATTTACAAATGGCATCTTCATCTTTGGACGCAAAGTCCAACAAGAACGGTCTGAATGATAGCACCATTGTTGTCATTGACGACACCAATCAAAACAGCTATTCCACTAAAAATTTACCACCAACCTCAACGCATGGATATTTCATACTGACCTTGAAATCCAATGCTGTTTCCGAAAGCTCTTCTAAGGTGAAAGCTAATTTACAATTAACTGTAGATATTGTACCTCATGTAAATATTCTAATTCATGGTGGAGATGAATACGATTTTATAACAGCTTTGGCAGAAGTCATTGATAACTCCATTCAAAATACTGTACTAAATAAGAACGACAGAATCATAGACATACGCTTTGAAAAGCCGTCACAAAACAACGAATTTAAAAGCAAATTACATATTTGGGACAATGGCAGAGGAATGAATTTCAAAACATTGGTTAATTGGGCAACACTGGGAATTACAGATGCTCCTGTTGATGACGCTGCTAACATGGCTGCAAAGAGCAAATCTGACCTATCAAGACGACGAATTTTTGACAAATTCATAACTTCTGATTTTTCTCGATATGGTGTTGGTTCGAAAAAGGCAATTTTTAACCTTGGTGACCAAGTGACTCTCGTTTCCAAACCAAAAGATTCTCGTTTCGTCTATGAAGTCACATTGTCACGGCAAAAATTGGAAGAAGACTTTGGTTCTGGAAAAGATAAGCAATGGAAAGCGGATTGCATCTCTAGGCCACCCTCTGACACGGAAAAACAATGGGACAGTTTTACTCACTTCACCATTTCTGACATTAAGAAGGTCTATGTGGATCGGTACGATGCAAGCATTATTAAGAAAAGACTTGGACACATTTATCACTATTACATTTATGGTACCGATGGAAATAAGGAGAGCCGAGATATTATCGAGGATGATGATGAGTATTCTGATACCCAAGACGAACTTGAAGAGGAAACTGTCCCGGCCAGCGACGACGAAGACGAAGAACCTAAGAAAACATCTAAATCCTCCTCTCAAGGCAGCAGCACGTCATCCTCTCAAAAGAGGTCATCCAAGAAAGCTCTGAGCGACGAAGAAGATTTTGTCCATTTCCGAAAACCAAAGAATGTAATTATTAAGGTTGATGGAATACCTATCACCTCAGAAGATCAGGATTTAGAATCTCTCTATCTACAGGAAGGAAAGTCACCGTTCTCGTTTGAAATTAAATTGAGCGTGAAAAATAGTGACAGCTCAAGCACAGGAATGGAGTTGAGCATGCCAACTCAAAGTTCAGGTGTTTCCATTGTCAACAGCACAGTGAGAGGAATTATTTACTATTATCCCTTCAAGCAAGGTCGAGAAACTTTGCCAATTCCAGAAGACCTGTATTTGGAAGGAGGCAAGTATATGCCAACAGATCAAGAAGTACCTCTTTCTGAAAGAAATCCAGGATTTGAATGCTTTTGGAATGGACGATTGTTGGCCAACGAGAAAATCAAGAATTTACCATGGATGGAGAAGGAGAGAAGTAATCGTGACATTCCTGACAATTGTTATCGTAGAGTGAAAGGAATGCTATTTTTTGATTGCGGTTTTGAGGTTTCTGCAAACAAAATGTATCTATGCAAGCAAACACCACTGTGTCAAGCACTGTTGAATTATACTGACAGGACTCTGGTACAACGTTATCGCAAGTGGATGAAAGAGTGCCATAAAAAACTCGACGAAGAAATCATTTTTGATGAATGTGATCTTGAAAGAACTCAGAAAGAAGGAAAGGGCCTTAAAACATTTTACAAAAGAATCAAATACGGACAAACTTCATACACCGTCGGAGATTATGTAGTCATGAAAACTAGACCAAAAATTATTGGTACACTTGTAGACATGTTCAGAGATTTGACCTCTGAAGAGTATACTGTGACTGCAATTGTTAAAGAGTGGTCTCCCGAGAGTCTAAATGATGATACTCACAAAATTACTGGTCAATGTTTTCCAATATCCAAAATTCAGAGCGTGCTCACAAAACAAGAATTCAAGTCAGAAATTAGTAAGCTGAAAAACAAATTACCAAGTTATATTGAGGTTGTTGACACGCCCAGTGTGAGCGCGCGGGAGAGGCGCCCTCCTCCTGATCCAGTCACAGCTGGCTATGTGCTGAAATACATCTCAGCAAGCATAATGACTGGTGATCACAAAGTTGTTACCACTCAATTATTTCCAATTACACTCACAATTCGATATGAGGGCGACAATGAGCAAGAACAAAAGTTTGAGGCTTCTGTTACTTCCACAAAGCCCTTCAAAAAAGGTGTTCATTGTTTTAAGCCAAACAAGCTCAAGTCAGAGTTCAACGTGGCCGGCACCTATCTACTTGAATTATCTTCGACAGAAGATAGTGGAATCAAGTCCAAGGTTGTGAAACTAGATGTGGTACCAGCTGGGCCAACAGCTCTCAATATTTGTAGTGAAATACCAACAGTGTCAAAGCTTTTTTCTGTTCTAAAAGTGGACAAGAAGTTGGCTGAAGATGCAATTGTGTTTTTCTTGAACAAAGAGATTCCACCTATTGTGATTGAACAATTGGATCCTTACGGTAACTTTGTTCCCTTCGCTATCTCCGGAAATCTTTTGAACGAACAGCTTAAGATTACTGCGAGCGACGATTCTATTGTACTCTCGTCTTATGAAGCATCGTTTACCAATGATAGGCGACTACAAATTAGTGATTTGCGTATCACAAGCGCACATTTAGGAAACGCAAAATTTTTGAACACCAAATTACTTATTTCCTTTGGAATTTTGAGTGTTTTGGAGCTGAATATATTTATTTTAGCTGGACAAGTTTTCTCAATTCAATTATCAGAAGACTCAAATTCGACCTTAAAGAATAATTCTGTGAAGAAAATGTTACCTGATATTGAAGCGAAATTACTCGACGAAATGGGCAACTGTGTGTTCATAAAACCAGTGTATGACGAAGAGGAAGACAACAACGATGAGGCAGAGAATTTTTCCCCAATTCTAAAGGGAGATGCTCTTAAAGAAGAAATTCGAGGAATTCTAAACGCAGAGACAGGACACTTCGTATTTAAGGGTGCAACACTGCATTCCGATTCTAATAGCTCTCAAAGAAAAGAAACAGAAATCATATTGCGCTGCAACAAAATCTCCATCACAATTCCTCTCACCATTGAGGCTATTTCAACAATCAAACCATCCACTTTCAGTTTAAGTCCTCCAGATACCGACAAACACATGGTTAAGGATCGTCAGCCACTGAAAGTAAACGTTCAAGCCATTGTTGGAACAGAATTGGTTGGATGGAAACTTGAACTTGGTAATGAAATGTACGAAAGAATGGCGTTTGATGGATATGCTCGCACTTCATGGAGTAGTGCCAACCTACTGCCTGTTGAAAATGGAATTTGTTTCCTTCCAACACTGGTGGTACCTCAATCTGCTAAAACATCCAAATATACCATAGACATCCTTTCAAAATCTTCTCGAAATGAAGATTTAATGCAGGATGACGATGGTGACCATGACATTAATCCTGAATTCATCATTGCAAACTTTACCATTCATTTACGAAGTGTCAATGGTCCTCCCTGTATTTTCAAAATTGATAGAAAGAAAAGTGTTCTAGGAGCGATCAAGTGTGAACAACCCTTCTCAATCAAATGTTCGATTATGGACGCCTATGGAAACACTCTCGATCCACAAGAAGATAAGGAAATATACCCAGAGCTCGAACATATCGATGCTGCTATTGAGATTGTTTCCCAATTGAATGGTGAATCTGAAAAAATTGAAATTGCATCACCTGAAAAGATGAAGAAAGTTACAACGAAAAATGGTTATTTGAAATTTTCCAATATTTCTCTAATTGGCCCCACTGGTGAGTTTCACATTAAGGTCATCGATAGAAGCGGGAAGATAAAGGAGGACAAGATTGAACATGTAATGTTAGAGCCTGGTCCTCCTCATTCGATACGAATTAATGAGACCATCGGAGAAGTTATTTTTGATGTTGAGAATCTTGGGTTAACACCACCGTTTTTTGTTACTTGTCATGACAAGTTTGGGAACAAATATTTGACACATGGAAGCTACGAAATTGACACTCCAGAAACTGGTATTGACATTCGTCAGTATGAAGGAGAGATGAATCAGTCGATAGACCTTCAAATCGATGAGGGACGAGCATATATGCCTCAATTCTGGATTAATGGAGTTGAAGGACTTCATCCTTTCTCGATAGAATATGAAAATCCTAAAGTCGAGCGAGCCTGTTTCAAAATTAATGTTAAGAAAGGCTCCCATCCAACTTCCTTAAAGATTCTTAACAAGGTAAATCAATTGAAAGCTGGAGACTTTATGGAAGCCTTCGAAGTCGCAGTAATAGGAGAAAATGGAAAACCTGTTAAGGCACCGTCACAATTGCACTTGAATGTTGTCGATCCTCAGGGAAGTGATAAGAGACATTTTGTTTCCAATATCTCAACAAATGACTTGTCGTATACATTTGCCAATAGCGAAAGAGTGTTCACCAAAGCAGGAGTTTATCGCTACAAAATCACTTTGGATGTTTCGAACTTGTCCAACGTGGCACCTCTTGGATTACCCAAATCCATAACCGAGTCGTTTGATTTGATTGTGGCGCCGGATGAACCAGCTGCATTGGAAATTGAGAACGATACATTTCAACTTCCAGTTGTCACAAATTGTGCAGAAGATATCGATAGAAGATCATTTTGGGAAGAATTATCTCTTAAGGTTGTTGATAAGCATTCTAACACGGTAATTGCTGATGACAAGATCAAAAAAGTTATCATTTCAGTTGAGAGAAGCGAAGAAAGTATGGATAGCGAGCTTCCTGAATTGGAAGGCTCACTTGAGGCAAAATTTGAGAATGGAAGAGCCAAATTTTCTAGATTGAGCATCAAAGAGGGATCTGGAGAAACTGGATTCTTTAAACTCGTATTCACAGCAAAACATCTTCCTCCCAAGGAGCTTGATTTTGCTTTCACTGACAACTCCAAAGTGCAAGAAGAAGAGAAGGAACTACAACAAAAACGACTAACTCTACTTTCTGAATTGGATTATTTGAAGCAAGAAATTAAGAAGGCTCAAGAGAATCATCAAGAAAACGAGTACAAGCTCAGTAATTTTAGAAGCACTCAACATGAACTTTTGAAAACGATCAAGGAATTCGAATTGAGTTTTGAGAATGATGTTCCCAATTTAGAGAATACAGAAAAAATGTTGACTTTGCTCAAAAAGAAGATGGAAATCAAAGCTCAAAACAACAGAAAAACACGAGAATGTAATGTAGGCCTCTCAGAAAATAAGGCTCTACAAAAAATCAAACAGCTTCAAAAAGAATCAGATAGCGGCATTGTGGGAATATTGGGAGAATTGGGATATATCGATAATGAAAAACAGAACGATACAATTTCGAGAACCATTGCCGATAAGATGCAGTGTATTGTTGTGCAAAACCAAGAAAGCATGGACAAGGTCAGAAACGCTCTCGATGCCTTTCCCAACAAATTACCAATTCTTCCTCTCGATAACATTTTCAAGTGTCCAAAAGGACTTGACAATAATGGCAAGCTACGATTGGATCCTATCGGTGACAATATCGATGGATTTATTGGATACGCTGTAAATTTAATTGAACTCGATCCCAGAAAAGAAATGCTTAGACACGCGTTTTGGAATATTCTAGGCCAAACTCTGTAAGTAGTTCGAAATAGATTATACTGGTGAATAGTATTCATTTCAAACCAACCTCGTACGTTGCTTTTGATAGTGTTTTTGAAAGCTTTGAAAAAGGCCTACAATTCAGAAAGAAACGACTGGAATCAAACACCAATACTCCAATTATTATTTGTTTAGATGGAGAACGTATTGAATCAACAGGAATTGTTTATGGAGGTGCAAAATCGAACGCTCCTCCTGTATTTAGATTTGGTCAAACACCAATTTCTGAGAATCCTGAGATGAAGCTTCTCTTAGAAAAGAAGAAGAAAGTGGAAGAGTTCAAAAAGATACTGAAAGAAACCATTGCTTTCGAAAAGGGAGAGTACAAACAATCGGAACAAACACGAGATGAGATTATTTCAAAACATACACCTGAAATTGAGCATATTGAGGAGGAACTTGCAACCATTGAAGAGGAATTGAGAAATATACGACAAGGACTTGTATTGTCAAAAAAGAAAAAGACACCAAGTGATAAGAAAACTTCAAAGCAAAAGAAGGAAGGTACCTCAAAATCAACAGAAAAGACGACTCAAAAGAAGAAACCAACATCGGCACCTGTCAGTGAACCTTCGTCACCTATTCTCTTCTCACAGTCACAACGTTCCACAATCATGCGAGATGATGACCCAATGCTGGACGAAATTGAGGAATTTTCAGAGAGTGACCGAGATGAAATTGAAGAATTCTCATCGGATCAAGAAAACTCACCTAAACAACCGAAAAAGAGTGCAAAGGCCAAGAAAGTGACTCCAAGCTCTCAGAAGAAGAAGAAAAAGTAACAATGAGTGGTTGTTGACATCACGTAAAGAAAATATTTTGAATGGGATGTTTGTGTGTGCAAAAAATTCTTGCGCAACCTCGAAAAAAAAAATCTAATTAGTTTATTGTTAGCACCACTGGTGCTGGTAAATCCGTGAGGATTGGGGTTTGTTTTTGAACTGGTTTTTTAAACCTTGAGTTTTCATAATACTTGGTGTGACATTTACCAACTAGTAGGGTGAGAATTGTTTGGATTTCAGGCCAATTTTGGTAAATATTAGGTAAATTTTTAAGGTTGGGCATTTGAGTATCTCGAATCATTACTCCGTCATGATGAATAATGAAAACTTTCCTTCTTTCACAGTATCTTGATTCTTGATAATCGTTGAGGATACATTGCATTGATGTAATATCTAGGAATTTAGTGTAGAAAAAATCCCTAAAGCATTGAGTATTAGGGCAATAGTATATGAAATGTTTTAGAGTTCCGGGGCATTTGCAGTGAGCGCATTGTCTTTCCTTATGTTGTTTGATATGGTTGCTTGTTAAGTTTCTCCAGATTGACCACTTAGTATTTGTGTCAATTTTAGATTTGATGAATTTTAGATTGATAGATGACCAGTTCTTGGTAAGGTGTAGACTGGAATTATCTCTATCAAATTGGCTAAACATCACATCGTATCGTTTCTTTTGTATGGATTTTTTGATGTCGAAAATAATGGTATTAGATGTGGCAAGGATGGTTTGGTTCGAAAAAAGCTTCTTAATGTCAAAATAGTTGTGCTCTTGAGCTCCTTTCTTAGCTAATTCGTCAGCTTTGATGTTTCCTTCGTTGACATGTCCTTTAACTTTGATTAGTTGAATATTTAGATTGGATTGTTGAATGACCTGTTGATATTCATGCTTGAAGCAGTTAAACATTCCGTTATAGGCTTTGTTTTTCAAAATGTGGATGGATATTTCACTATCTGTGTGAATTTTTGCCTTAGATTTAGGTGGAAGTATCTTTAGTGATGTGAGTATTGCTGATAATTCAGCAACGGCCTCGAAAAAAAAAATGAGCACAACCGCGAATGGCTCCCGTCTTGGCCATCAAAGAAGTCATTCCTTCTCAGGTTCTGCAACAACGATCGTTGTGGATGAATTTGCTGTGGGTGAGTAGAACCTCATAATTTGGTTACATTATTAAAGATTATATGAATTCACATTCCGCGTGATCATGAAAATATTTTTTTATGATGCCATAAAACACATCTTTATCGGAATTGGATTCAATTCACCATCATCATAAACCCATCATTCCATATAATGATTTAAATCATGAAAATATTCGAATATTGTATATCTCCCTAATCGTACATGATTAATCCATGAATGAATATTATTGTGTGGTATCATTCCGTTTCTCCCCAAAACACACACATCATAGAAAACTACAAGAGAAAGATTAAAGAACAAGAAACGGAAATTAGCAATTTGCAAAAAGAGCTTCACAATTATAGGATGAAGGAAGGTGATCTTTCTTTTAGTCTGGCTATGGAGCAATTTCTGTTAAAGAAGAAGGATTCAAGTAGTAGCGTTTCAACGGGTAGTAGTTTTTCGGATTTGTTGAATGCATCTTCCTCTTCTTCATCTTCATTGAATCAAGCGGAATTGGAGGAATTCAAGAAAAAGAACCAAGTCTTGGAACAAGAGAATACATTGCTGAAATCCACGATTGAACAAATGAATAGACAAGCACAGGAACATACGGAATCAACTCAGAGAGCCCACGAACAACAGACATTACAACTCCAAGCCACCATTCAGTCTCTTTCGGAAAGTGTTAAAAATATGCAAGAGGAACATCAACGACTGGAACATGAATCTTCTCAAATTCGTCAACAATTACAAGATCAGTCTCAATTTATTAATGAGTTGAAAGAAAAGCATCACAATGAGATTGAATCGATGAAAAGAGAAGCTCAACAAGCCCAAGATGATTTATTGAAACAAGTTGAAAATTACAAAACAACGGCCAATACTGAATTGAAATCTTTGAATGAACAAACATCTGAAATTGAGTCACTCAAAAACGAGATACAACGAGCTAACGAAAATCACTTGCAAGAAGTTCAAAACTTGAAGAATACCATCACTGAGATTACTTTGGAGAGTGACAGGTTGCGAAAAATTCTCTCTGAAAAGGAACACTCAGAGCAACAAACAAAGAATGAGGAAGCACATGTATTCCAAGTGAGAATTCAAGAACTTGAAAAATTACTCTCAGAAAATAAGACTCTTCTCTCGGAAAAGGACCATGAATATCAACAAGCGATCTCAAATTTAAAGTCTGAAGTGGAAAGCAAAAATCAACAAATTGAAACGTTGAATCAAGAATTGACCAAACGCGCTGCAGAACAAGAATCTTTGGTACTCAATTTGACGGAACAAGTTGGCAAGCTAAACCAGATGATCAACGATCTTCAACAACAATTGAACGACAAATCCACAGAGGTAGAACACATGCAATCGGCTCTATCCAATCTAAGAAACGAAATTTCTGTCAAGGACTCTCTCACAGATCAGTTGGCACAACAAAAAACAGCAATGGAACAGAAAGTTCAACAACTGCAACAAACGATCGACTCTCTCAACCAGCAACTTTCTAATGCAGTCAATAATGAAAAACAATCATCAGAAATTCATGAATTACAGACTCAACTCCAACAACAGGAACAGCTCGTCACCAAATTAACGCAAGAAATTAGCCAACACACTACTTCCATCCAATCTCTCGAGAATCAACTTGCTCAAAAGACCAGTACACTCGAACTTGTACACACCGAGAAGGCAAGTTTACAATCATCCATTTCTGAAATTCAAGGAACTGTAGAATCATTGACATCAAGTTTCAATAGCTTACAAAAGCAGTACGACACTCTTTCTGAAGAGAATGCCATCCTCCAAAATAATCTCCAAAAACAGCAAGATCACAACGAAACTGAAATGCAACAACTAAAGTTATCATTCGAGAAGGAAGCAGCAGAGAAGGAGAAGGAACACAAAACACAAATGCAACACTTGGAGCAATTACTCACAAAAACAGAATCTGACCTCAAGACAGCCACACAAAAATTCGTTGAAGAAAAGGAAAAGTTGATTAATGAACACGAAGCGTATCTCAAGCGTCACATGGACGAATTGGAGCTAAAATTAAAATCTCAAATGAACACTGTAGATGTCTTGACAAAAGAAAAGGAAAAGCTCTCAAAAGAAGTGAATGAAGCCAATGAACATTTGAAAAAGCTCTCTTTCGAAACAAGTACATTGAAAGAACAAAATCAACATCTCGAGCTTACTTTAGAGAAAAGCAATATGGAGCTAGAACAATCTAAGAATCTTTTCAACGAAAAATCAAAGGAACTCGACACCACTCAACAAAGTCTCTCAAATATTGAAGCCAAATACAGAGAACTTGATCTTTCTTTCCAAAATACTCAAAAAGAGCTCGAAACTATTACAGAGCAAATGAAACATGATAAGGCCATTCATGAGAAGGAAATTGAAAGTCTCGAAAATACCATCAAACAACTCGAGAAGGAACAAGAAGCAACTAATGAAAAAGTGGAAACATTGAGGATTTGTAGCGTGCAAAACAATTCCTCACAAGAAGCTCAAAACACCACTACAGGCAGCACTACAGGAAAAACAAAGAAGGGTGTCAAACGAGATGCTTCTGAGAATCCATCCAATGAAGCCACGTCAGCAAGTGCCTCCAACGCTTCTATGGACCCTCCAAAGAAAAAGGTTAAGAATGCTTCTGCTGATGAATCTTCTCCATCCTCTAAAAATTCTAGCAACAAGGAACCAAAGAAACCTGTTATTATCTTTTCTGGATTCAGTGACAAGATCAAAAAGTGGACCATGGAACAAAAAACCAAACTCGAAAAAGTGGTTAAAGATTTAGGAGGCGTCATTACGGATGATGTCAAAGAAGAGACAACACACGTAGTAGCCCCACCAGGAGTTCGAACTATTAAGGTTCTTCAAGCTGCTGTCACTGGAAAGTATGTCATGTCACCCGAATGGTTGGTTGAATGTGAAAATCAAAACAAATTTGTGGACGAGGACAACAAGTTAGGCAAACTCGGGCACAAAGGACCATTCAAGAGAAAGAAGGTTGCTTTCACTGCAGCGTTTGCTGACGAGTGTCAAAAACCTAAATATATCCCTCAGAAAAGAATGGAAAATGCAAAACTTTTGATCACTTCTGGACAAGGTGAAATTGTGGATGATATTGAAAAAGCAGATATCATTCTTGTGGCTTCTTCTGAATCCATTGGTAACTCTTCTTGTTGTGTTTCTTGGGAAGGTTTTTTGGATATGATCTTTCCAAAGGAGGATAATTAAAGCATGTACATTAAACCCATGTTTGACATGAAAATTACGAAAATTAATGAGCCATTCAAACGTTTGAAGAAGATCAATTATTTTTCACATCTTTGTTCCGTTTAATGAGAGTTCAATCTTAATAAAATGTTGACAGGAGAATTTGTTTAAACCACAACACAAGGTCTAGTTGAAGTATGAACTAAATATCCTGTCCAAGGCTTGGTATGAATTGTAAGAGCAGGTGAAGTAATTGTACAGCAACGAACCAATATTATCCGCCCGGTGATTGAAGCTTGTGACTTTGTGATTACTGATTCGCCTGCTCGGCAGGGTTGCAAGTGGATGTCGCCTTTTTTGTCTCTGCAATGTTTTTCATGATATGTTTTCCCCCTGTGCTGACACTTTGCAAACGTAAATAAAAGAATTTTTGCATCACAAATTAAAAAATTATTTTAAACAGATGATAAAGGACCCCGAGTTTCTTTCAGAAAAACAACTGTATAAGAGCTCTTCCCAAAATAATAATAACCATGATGCTGGCCATTCTCATCTGAATTTTAATAATCATCCAATGGATTCCGATGATCCTCATTTGAAAAATTTAAATTATGATCATCGTCCATTGAGCTCAATTAGGAATTTGAATTTTTTCTCAGTCCAGAACGAAAAGGAATTGAAACAACGATTGGAATATTTACTCCGAAGGAAGAGCCATTGTGCTACGCTCGGAACACAAGTTTTGAAACGTTTAGTGGACGAGAATTTATTTCTCCATGAAATTATGAACGTGTTACAACTATCTCAAGAAATGAATCAATTCGTATGGCAGCCTTTTTTACAAGACAATTTTCAGTTACAACACTATGTTGGCTGCCATTGTTGTTGTGACCCGAATGGTTTTAATTTCATCCAACATGAAACTGAGGAGGACGATACCACAATTTCATCTTCGGAATGGAACAATACCAACAATGAAAATTTGATGGAAGCAACCACTCAACACACATTATCCATAGAACCCTTTTTAAATCTGTATATTGGAATTTCAAAATTGGATTATCCCTGTAAGAAAATTCTAACCCATACCTTATTTCGGAATAATAGCATTGGAGTCAATCATCCATTTCTAATCATTGGATGTTATAAAATTGAATGGAATGATTCATCATTGGTGAAAATCAAATACGATCAATTTAAGGCAAGAAACTCCATGATGGTTTACAAATTTCATGTGATTCGAGGCACACAACAAGTACAGAAAGCCTTGATTACCATTGCCAAGGTTTGCACGTTTTGGAATACCTACAAGAAATTTTCTCAATTATTCTGTAATTGTCATCATTTCATTAATGATTTGCTGAGAGAATTGAATATTGAGTCGCCTTTTGAAAGCAGCAACCAAATTGTTGGAAATAATAGTCATAGTGAAGATCAATTTGACAAACATTCCGTATTCAAGTACATGCTTTCGAAATTGAAATTGGCTCATGAAGAACGATATATTGTGTGGAGTCAGGACAGTTCTGACGATCCGACTGTAGAACTTTCTCAACAACAAGAATGGCCTGAGTTGAATGATAGAATTCAATGGAATGAAAAAGAAGGAGAAATTATTTTGAGTGGTGGTGAGAAGCAACTTGTTGCGTTTCATTATTATTTGAAATTACAACAACAACATGATAAGAACAGAGGACGAATGATTCAAGACAACAACTATTGGTAGAACATGCACTTACATGTGTTCATAGCTACCTGAATGGATATCAACTTAGAAATCAAACAGTTCGCAAATTGGACTATTCAGTTCTATTGGAATCGATCAAAACAGCTCGTACTTCATCAAACTCTGCATTTATTCGAAATTTAGAGTTGGAATATCCATTATGGAATGCATATTGGAAATGCTCAATGTTTTGTAGCTCAGCTGCAGTGAAAGTGGAGAATAATCACGAGTCCATTTCATGAAATCAAGTGTAGATTCCTTGTGCGAATGGTTTAGGACGGCTCGCTAAAAGATATGAATGATGGTTCTTGCAAACTGGCTGTACAATGTTTGAAATTTCACTTTGAATCAGTAAGGACTTCAACCAACTCGAACCCAATATTGATTTGGTATTTTCATTCCACTCATTCAGAAAAATCTAAAGAACAGTGAACACAACCATATTTCAAATGATTATATTAGAATCAGAAGAAGGAAATCAAAGGTAGTATGTATGGAGGATGGTTGGTCAAGAATGATTTGAAACATTATTGGTCGTATTTACCTCTTTCCCAATTCAGTGCATGGAACAGAGTACTCGTGTATGCTGCTGCTACCTTCTGTGTAACAAATTCTTTCAGCACGTCTCCATCCTTCGATAAATTGCTTCCTTCATATCTCAAGAACAAGACTCATTGAAAAAAACCTCAACCCTCAATCTGTCCCTCACTCAACACAGATCAAAGCAAAATCAAGCCACAGCCATCACCTTTCATCACAATCTGTCAGAGTGATTTTCACACTCACACAGCCGCACGACGTTACAACAGAAGCACACTCATCAAAAAAAAATCATTTTCTGAGTACATCACCCTCATTTTTTGCAGGTACGTTTTTTGAATCGAACACTTGGTTTCAGAAGCTTATTGTTCTATTACAATCCCGTAAATCCGTATACTCTTGTTCTTGTTCAATGGGTATATTCATTATTTTGTTGTTCAATCTTGTATTGATGATGTGGATTGGAAATGATCATATTTGATGGCCATCATACGCTTACTCTGATGACGGTATTTTTTGATCGTGTGTTGGTGCTTTCGGGTTAATCATACCTGGATGATGATGATGATATCATTTAACAATAATATTGATCATGTGTTGTTGTTGATTTACCTCTTGAACCAAACTCTCTTAATCTTGTCCAACGATTTTGCCTTTCTTCCAAACATCCACGTCATCCTCATCATTGAATTCAATGGTTACCTCCTTCCACTCCCGTTTTGTGTTGTTTGTTATATATATATATGAAACAACTACTTATTCCCACATCATCATCATCTTCACTGCCAACAATATCATCATTCGAAATGACTCATTCTCACCCTCACAGACCACCAACACAATGAGCTACTCAAACGACGTGATTGCCAGACAAAACCCAGTCCTCGTCATTGACAATGGTACTGGTTTCACCAAGATGGGCTATGCAGGTAATAGTGAGCCAAACTACATCATTCCAACCTGTATTTCACACAATCCAAAATCTCTCGATAAAGGTCTGGAGGATTTGGACTTTTACATTGGATACGAAGCACAAGAAAAGCAAGGTGGAAACTATGACTTGGTTTATCCAATGAGACACGGTTTGATCGAAGACTGGAGCAAGATGGAAATGTTGTGGGAACAATGCTTCTTCAACTATTTGAAGTGTGAGCCTGAGGATCACTACTTGATGTTAACAGAACCTCCACTCAACCCTCCAGAAAACCGTGAATATACTGCTGAAATCATGTTCGAAACATTCAACGTGTCCGGTTTATATATTGCTGTTCAAGCTGTTTTGGCTTTGTGTGCATCATGGACATCTTCCAAGTCAAAGAAGCTCGGTTTGGGTGGTACTTTGTCTGGTACTGTGATTGACTCTGGTGATGGTGTTACTCACGTCATTCCTGTTGTGGACGGATATGTTATTGGTTCTAGTATTAAGCACATTCCATTGGCTGGTAGAGATGTCACCGAGTTCTTGATGCGTTTCGTCATGGACCGTGAGAAGAACATTCCTTCCGAAGACATCAAGTTGGCTGTTCAAAAGATCAAGGAACAACACTGTTACGTATGCTCTGATTTGGCAAAGGAGTTTGCCAAGTTTGACACAAATCCTTCTGAAAACATTCTCAAATATTCACAAGAAAATAAGAAGTATGGTAAATGGGAGATTGATGTTGCATACGAAAGATTCTTGGCTCCTGAAGTCTTCTTCAACCCAGAGATTTTCTCTGCTGATTTTAGCACACCTCTTCCAGATGTTGTTGACCACTGCATTCAATCTTCACCAATTGATGCTCGTAGAGTGTTGTACAGGAATATTGTCCTTTCTGGTGGTTCTACCATGTTTGAACATTTTGACAGACGTTTACAACGTGACTTGAAGAAGAAGTTGGACGATCGTTATGAAAAAGCTGTCTCAATGACCTCCTCCGGCAAAGAGAAACCAAAGCCATTAGAATGTAACGTTATTGCTCACTCACACCAACGTTTTGCTGTTTGGTTTGGTGGTTCCATGTTGGGTACTATGGCTGAATTTAAGAGAGTTTGTTACACAAAGGCTCAATACGATGAGATTGGTCCATCCATTGCTCGTAGATCTCAAGTCTTCCAAAGCTTTGAATAAGCACTATTTTTTGAGTTGTTCAGTTAAACACTTTGTTTTGTACAAGAATTCATTCCTTACGTCATCATAATTTATTCACATTAAATTGTTCGTCAACAACGACAATCATTTTGTAAGCAAATCATGAGGGATGTGTTTTGTTAATCTTAAGTTGTTTTAAAGAGATGTTGTGAAGAAGTCAAGAAATTGAAATAATGTCAATGTCGCTCAATGAAAGGATTTTGCTGTGGTGACAGTCTATCTGCCTTGACTCACTTCTCTGCACATACTGTCGTAGGTATTTGAAAAAATGTACCAATCTTGGATTGTCAGTAAAGGCGTTCAAGAATGAGCAGTAACTGTTGCAACTGGAAACAATGTGGCAGTGTGTAAACGAGTTGTCATCCTTTGGACAAGTCTTTCGATATTTCCTCGTCCTCTTCTTTTTTAATGATGGTTCCTCCAATTCAATTCGTTCATCATCCTGGCAGTATGTATTTCCTCATCCTCACTACTATTACCACTGCTAATAGCATCCTGATGTTCCTCATCTCCATTCCCATCCTCATTCATCATCATTAAACTCATTCTCCTCTTCAAATACTGATCATTTTTACATTGCACTCGATTCACATGAAATTTCACAGGAATCAATTCACATCGATGCGCCTGAGAACCATTTCCCAATTGTCCTTCCTCATTACTCCCACATACATAATTCTCTCCATTTTCTGCATGAAACCACGTATGAAAGGCACCACAACTCACCGACTTGACTCTCATTCGTTTCTCTACAAAATATAACAATAATTGAGGTTCATGAATATATTGATGATATTGATTCTTCATCAATGAAGAATTTGTTGTTGTTGTTGAATGTAAACTTGTTGAAGAAGAAGAACCATTCAACAATTTCGGAGAACATGTCATGACCCTTAATAGACATTCCGTACTTGCCAATGAATTGTAATGAATTCCAGTTTGTCCCTTATAATTCGATCCACAGGCATAGACAGTTCCATGTCGTGTTAAAAAAACAGAATGTTTTTCACCGCAACTGATGGATTCAATTCGAATGTTTCTCTCATCGAAAAAGGTTAATTTTTGAAAATTAGTCATGGTCATGGAATCATTTGAGGAATTTTCAGAATTTGCTGAATTTTCATAATTTGCTATTGAGGAATTCATTGTGAAATTTGATCCTAATCCAAGTTGTCCTTCATAATTCCTTCCTGAAACGTAAATATTGTGATGTGAAGTGAGAAGAAGGGTGTGAAAACCTCCTACTGCTAATTGTGTAATTTTTTCTGAGGCTTCAATGATCGAATCGTCATGATTGCAAGAAGGATGAATCGATTGTTGTAATTGTTGAAAATTCACAAATTGTGGAACGAAAATGTTGTTGGATTGAGATCTTTCACTACTACTACTGGAAGTACTATTGGAGATTGGTAAGAATAATTGTCCATAGGCATTGTCTCCAAAAACAATCATGTCAAGACCATTGTCTTTTACAAGAATGGTAAATCGTTGTCCACAACCAATCATGGAAATTTTTGAATGATGATTAGTGACAGAATAAGGATTTCCATGTTGACTAGTATTCTTGTTTGTATCATTCGAACAGAGATGTGAAAAATCAACTCTGGTTAATTGTTTCACCCTCAATGAAAAGATACTCGTTTCTCCTCGGAGAGTTTTCATTCCTTTCACTCCGCATTGTCCGTGTGAGTTCGATCCGAGTGAAAACACATTTCCACAGCATGTCACTAAAATGGTATGTTCTCGTCCACAAGCAATGTGTGAAATTGTAGAATGTCTTAATAAGGGATGTTTGGAAATTTCACAAAACGTTCGTTTTTTGTGAATTGAGGGTTGAGCGGAAGAGAATGGATTCGATTCTGCATCTCGTGCTCGATCGAGATTTGCCACCAACGTTGGTGATGATTGTGTATCGTTATCTGAATGGGTTTCGTCAGAGTTTTGTGACAGAGAGGCATTTGACACATCTCCAATTTTGGAATTTTCAAAAAGTGCTCGTTTCCAATGTGTCACATTTAAATCTTCTTCTTCTTCTTCGAGAATTGCAAAATCTTGTTCTGAAAAATCATTACAAGGAGCTCCCAAAATAAACACTCGATGAAAATTTGTCTTGATCACTGTGTGAAAACTTCCACCGCAAACATTTTCAATAAATTCTCCATAAAATAATTGAATTCGATCTTGTCGAGTGGATGCTGGATTGAGTCGACTTGTTGTACAATTGTTGCATTGAGAATTTTGTGTATTTGAATCGAAATCGTTCGAATGTGAAGAGTGTGAAAATGGTTCAAAGAAAAGCTTTCGAAACGAGTGATGAGATGAATTGGATGAAGATGTCGTATCATGAAAGGGAGGGCATGCATCGTCAATTTGATGATAATTATTGAATCCACATGCAAACCATTGATGATTGAGAAGATTTTCCATTTTCCTAATGAATGTGAAATAATTATTGTAAATGAGGGAATTATAATATGTGACCGAATGGAAACTCAATTCAAATCTTGATTCTACAAAAATATAATCTTGTACTTCAACTATTGTTGTAAAATCAATTGATGATAACGATCAATAAAAAAGATATCAAATTCTTCTTCTTGATCAATTCACCAACTTGTTGTATCAATCAATCGATCTCACAAGAGGATGATGATGACGAACAAGAATGTTATTGTACGAATAACAAAGAGAAGGATGTCTCTTTCTTTTTGAAAATGTTTTTAGAAAACACATCATGAACGCGCGTGCGTCATGATCCATTGTGAATATTTGGAAAAATATGTTTTTCAGCATTCCCAGTGATCACACTGTTGAATCAACAACACCCATTGTCGACGACGGAATGAATTTAGTAGATGGATGTTTTGACATTTTTAGGCCTTTCACAGTGCATGCTGTTTTGTAAAATGTTATTTAACAATTTTCATTTTCGAATACAAATGAAAGAGATTCATCATTCCATCGATCAATGAATCTGCATCATCATGTGACCACACTACACAAGAATACCTCAAGTTAAGATTATGTTGTCTCTTTCATCATCAACATCGGAATTTCCTCTCATCTTCCGAAAACGAGAAATTCCTCAACCTGCACACGAATGAAAATTTTGATTGAATTGAAAAAAAATTTTTGAGAGTTTGCTGAAAAAAAATATCAACGCACTTCCATCATCATCTCTTTTTCAAAAATGTTCAAGCCTCTCGCTTCCAAGAGAATTAATCATAGAGCCGTGATTCAATTGTTGTCCAATCAGAGCAGAAATGCCAGTAATGCCAAGGAAATTTACTACTCTGATAACGGAAGAAGAAAATTGTTGGCCGGTGTTGAAAAGTTGTTCAAGGCTGTTGCTACCACATTGGGTCCAAAGGGTAGAAATGTCGTGTTGCAACAATCGTATGGTTCTCCAAAGATTACCAAGGACGGTGTTACTGTAGCTAAACATATTGAATTGGAAGATAATATGGAAAATCTCGGTGCTCAACTCATTAAAGATGTTGCCAGTAAGGCCAACGATGCTGCCGGAGATGGTACCACAACAGCAACTGTTTTAACATATGCCATCTTCTCCGAAGGTTGTAAGGCTGCTGCTTCCGGAATGAATCCAATGGACTTGAAGAGAGGTATTGATTTGGCTGTGAGACGTGTCATTGAAAGTCTCAAACAACAAACCAAGGAAATTACTTCAAAGGAGGAAATTACTCAAGTTGCTACAATTTCAGCAAACGGTGATAGAGATATTGGTGAATTGATTGCCAATGCCATGGAAAAGGTCGGACAAGAAGGTGTCATTACTGTTGAAGATGGTCATACTTTGGATAACCAATTGGAAATTGTGGAAGGTATGAGATTTGATAGAGGATACATTTCACCATACTTTATGACTGAGACCAAGACTCAAACTTGTGTTTTGGAAAAGCCAGTCATTCTCGTCTATGACTCCAAGATTTCATCCATTGTCGATATCATCAAGCCATTGCAATATGCTCTCAACAACAAGAGACCATTGTTGATTATCGCTGAAGATGTTGAAGCTGAAGCTTTGAATACATTGATTTTGAACAGAATCAAGGCTGGTTCACAAGTATGTGCTGTCAAGGCTCCAGGTTTCGGAGATCACAGAAAGAACAATTTGCAAGACATTTCCGTATTGACTGGTGCTATCTTGGTCAGCAAGGATTTGGGAATGAAGATTGAGAATCCAGAAGTTGAATGGTATGGTAGTGCTGAAAAGGTCACAGTCACCAAGGACGAGACAGTCATCATGAACGGAAGTGGTACCAAGGAGGCCATTGCTGAAAGATGTGATGCTATCCGTGAACAATTGCAAAGAGAAGATGTCTCCACATTTGAAGCTGAAAAGCTCAGAGAACGATTGGGCAAGTTGTCCGGCGGTGTTGCCATTTTGAAGATTGGTGGTTCTTCCGATGTCGAAGTTGGTGAAAAGAAGGATCGTGTGACCGATGCTTTGAACGCCACCAAGGCTGCTGTCGCTGAAGGTATTGTTGCTGGAGGTGGTACTGCTTTGACTTTTGCTTCCAAGACCTTGGATTCATTGATTGCTGAATTGCCAAACGAAGACCAAAAGGTCGGTGTTAAGATTGTTCAAAACGCCATCCGTATGCCACTCAAGATGATTGCTCAAAATGCTGGTTTGGAGGGAGCTGTCATTTCCGAACACGTCATGAAATTCCAAGATCCAGCTCAAGGTTATGATGCTGCTACTAACAAGTATGTCAACATGTTCGAGTCTGGTATTATTGACCCAACCAAGGTTGTCAAGACTGCATTGGTCGATGCTGCATCTGTTGCCTCATTGATGACCACCACTGAAGCCATGGTCGTTCTTGCTCCAAAGAAGGAACCTGAAGTTCCAATGGGCGGAATGGGTGGAGGCATGGGTGGAGGTATGTTCTAAATTAATGATTGAGGTAGTCATCCTCTCTTACGTTTCTATTTCCAAACCTCTCTCCTAATCGATCTATTGACCACACTGTTATAGATTACGACTACTAAACACCATCCCTTAACTCTTTCTCTAAACAATCCACTTGCGAAAATAATAAAATATTTAAAAACAATAACAATTTTGCTTTTACTTAACGAGTTTGTTTTATGAAATTGGAACTTGTTTCCGAGGCTTGTCACAACTCGAGATCATTAAAAAAATGAGCAAACGCAAAACCAACAGCACCTCACGCACTCCTCTCATTCAAGACACACACGAATTTGAAGACATTTTCCAAAACGTGTTTCAATTCATGGAGACTTGTGAAATTTATCCACTCCAACATGTTTCATCCTTCTTTTTTCAAATGATTGAAAAATTAAAACAATTCTACATACGTCCAGTGTATGAAATTGGCATTGTTTCTCATCACAAAGAACAACTCGAAAGCTTTGTTCGTCAACAACTTGGTTTCTCCCGTGGACTCATTCCGACTCTCTCTTCGGAAGAAATTGAAAAATTGAGAAAACAAAGAACCAATTCCACCTATTTACAGTATGGCTATTATGGATATCATCCTTCACAGAGTGACAATAATCAATTCGATACTTCGGAACTCAATGATGGAGAAGCGTTGAAAAATGTGAATTTTTCATCGAGTCAAATTCATGTCTTTGAGAGAATTGAGAGACACATGATTTTTAAACAAGATCGATTTCGAGTTATTTTCTTTCCATTATTGTGTGAAAAAAAGACAAGTGTTGCTGTGGATGATTTTAATCGATTGGAAGGATTCATCTTTTTAAAACCTGAAAAGTTGGACTCGTTTGAATCCATGCCAGAAGGTGCACAAATTACATGTGTCGTTTTAGATGATCATTTTACATTTGAAAACAAATATGGAACTTTGACAACTCAACAGCAAAGTACACACCATTGGATCAACCACAGTTGAAAATGCCTGTCAAGAAATATGGCCTTGTGAATATGCTTAAAAACGGAACACGAGAACAAATCAATAATTCTTTATTGGAATGTCTCATGTATATTATGCAAAATTCGAATCGATGTCTCAAATTGGATCACTCCATCAGTACCATGAGAGAAATGGATCCATCCAATAGTGGTAGTAGTAGTAGTAATGGTGGCCATGAACAACAATTCACAAACATCATCTCAAAAACATCAACAAATGCCTCTCTCAAATTATTAGATTTAATTCATCATATCATTGTTTGCAAAATGAGTAATGAAGAACTCTCTCAATATTTCACACAATTATTTCAAAACAGATATTCTCTGTATCATTTATTAATGACCAAAGACATTCGATACATGACCAAACGATTAAGTTTTTTTAATTTACCATATCCGACACAAGTGAAACTGTTGAAACGACTCTACAGTGCCTTAATTGCAACAGTAGATTCTTTTTCACACAATGAAGGTGGCTGTGTGAAAATTAAACATTCATCGGATGATCTTGTCGTGACACTTTTGCAAGATTACTTGTACGAAAAGGATTCGTATGGAGATGAAAAGGAAATGCGTGTTCGAATGGTTCAAATTCATTTTCATTTATTGACCGAAAAGGTTGATTTTGTGTATGAGGAAAATTATGATGTATCGAAAAATTTACGAAAGAATTGTATTGTGTGTTGAGAATTATTATCAACCAACTATTGTTGTAGCAAGTATTAACATTAGAAAAATGAAGAGAGCACACGTTTTTCAATATGAAAACAAGTTTGGGTTTAAAAAAGAGTTCCAAGTAAGAAGCTTATTAACGTTGTCAAAGATTTATAACACTTTCGAAATCCCATATCAATGAGGTCCATGATCATGGAATTGATGAGATTTGTGAAAATACGAAAAATTTCTGAACAGTCTTTTTTCATCAATTTTTGGATTGGTCCGCTCTTTTGAGCCAATCAAAAAGGAGTGAACAATTCCGTTTTCAAGATTTCGTCGAAAGACTCACATCATTTTCACAAGTCCATGACATTTCATCATCCATTAATAATGATTACAAACAAGAAAATAGCAAAAAAAAACATTCCGCAAATACCCAACAAATTTACTCATATGGACAAGAATTTGAGTCGGTCTGGGTTGAAGACTCCTTCCACTCAACAACAACATGCACACAAGATGCATCTTTTGGCACGTCATCTTTTTCATCATCTTGTTCTTCATCTTTTTCTTCTCCTTTTGCTTTTAATTTTACTTTTCACACACTTCTCCATATGGAGCAAGATCCATTCATCGCCCCAACATGTTGATTCCTTTCAACAAGTAGTGCAAGCTTCCAAATTGACTTCATTTCCAAAACCTCTTTATAACATTTCCACTTGGGTTGGTGGTGGCTCCAATTTCAATTTTGCCATCAACTCGTATGGAGATTCCACCAATCGAGTCGATGCCATGTATTCCTGTCTTCAATATCCAAAAAGTTTGTCTCTCAATTCCAATCATAGCATCTTGTATGTGGCTGCAACCTATGACCACATGATTCGAAAAATTTCAAAACATCCTTCCAATCCGAATATGAATTTAATTTCAACAGTGGCTGGCGTGGGAGTGGATGGATTTTCGGATGATTCATTTCTGGCGAAGAATGCAAAATTGAGTCGACCCACACATGCCATTGAACATCCAGTGAATTCAGATGTCATCATTTCCGATTCGGGAAATCATTGTATTCGAAAGTGAGCGCACAGACTGGAATAATTTCAACATTGGCTGGAAATTGTACAGTTTCTGGATATGATGGAGATAGTGGATTGGCTCTCAATGCCAAGTTCAATAATAGCATGTATTTGGCGATTACTAAAAATGGTAGTTGGTTATACGTTGCAGATACATTCAATGGTCGAGTAAGAAGAGTGAATATACCAGAAGGAACCATTGAAACAATTGCTGGAAATCCTACTGGACAAAATGGAGATTGTCCTGTGGCCATCGATTGCCTTTTGGATCAACCACAAGGTTTAGCACTTTCTCGGATGAAACGCTTCTCTATATTGCAGAAAGTGCTTCGAACAGAATTCGAATTCTTTCATTGACAACGAGTCCCATGTCATTGACATCACTCCAACTTGGAGGAGGAGTTTTGAATTTTCCAACTCAAATTGCTCTCCATGAAAATCAACAAGCTCTCTATATTTTGGATCATAATGCGAAACAAGTGAAAAAGGTGAGTCCTCTTGGTGCAAGTTCAGTGTTGCAGCTAGTTTATGGGAGTGAATATTTTGAACAACCGGGAGGACTGGCTGTGAATTCTGATTTAGGACATGTCTATGTTTCTGACGTTTCGTCCAATCTTGTGAAATTATTTTCGAACGGTGATCCAAAGATTGTGGCTGGAAAATGTCAACGAACTGAATTCATTGGAGATAATGTCAATGGTACAGAAGTAGAATTGGTACGACCTTCTGCTCTTGCATTTGATTCCATTTCTGGAGAATTATATATTGCAGACACTGACAATCATGTCATTCGAAAATTACAAAACAATGGAATCATAGTGACACTTGCTGGAAATACCCAACCTGGAAATTTCAATACAACTATGGTTGTCATGGCCAATTCTACACGTCTTGATGCTGTCGCTTACATGTATCCAAGTGTCGATGTTCAAACAGGAAAAGTCTCGTCATTGTACATGTCTGACAGTGGTCAATCGGTCATTATGAAATGGAATTTGATGGATGGAACCATTGTTGGAGTTGCTGGTACGAAACTAATCTCTGCAGATTCTGGAGATGGAGGTTTGGCCATTCATGCCTTGGTGAGTCCAAAAAGTCTGTTGGTTGTGAATTCGAATTTTTCAACAAATGCTTCAGCACAACAACAAGCAATGAAGAATCAAGTCCGTCATGGAATGATCCATACAGAACTCGCTCTCGAAAATACCATTTACAAAAACACCATTGGAGAAGTCTATTTTGTGAATTCCTATTCAAATACCATTCGAAAAATTCTGACCAATGGAACCATTGTCCGAGTGGCTGGACTTGCTCAACAAAATGTCATTTTGAATGCTGGAGATGGTGGATTGGCATTGGAGGCGACCATGTCTCCTCAAGCCATCACATTTGATTTGGAAGGAAATTTATTGGTTTCAAGTCGAGGAATGATTCGAAAAATTTTCATTCATAACGGAACCATTGTTGGAGTGGCAGGACAAAATGGAAATTATGGATTTTCAGGGGATGAAGGATTGGCTCTGAATGCACAATTTTCTTCGAATATCCCTTCACTGTACATGTCACCTCAGGAGATTTATTCATTTCAGATTTGGGCAATTATCGAATTCGAAAAATATCTGGAAGAAGTGGAATGGTGACCACTGTGGCAGGAAACGGCTCCTCCAGCTTTTCATCCATTGGAGAATATGAACCATCGAATGCTTTGACTAGATACGTAGGTCCATTGTCCATCATTGGAGGAGACAATAATTCTCTCTATTTAGTTGAAAATAATGCAAAACGAGTTCGAAAATTAATTCAATATTGTCAAGAAGGATGGACAGGAAGTGATTGCTCCATTCTTCAACTGAAAAAGCTAAGGGCCTATTTTGAAACAAGTATGGCATTTACTGGCTTGACAATTTCCTTAATGATCAAAATTGAAGATGAAGATTTCAAATATTATGCTCCAGAAACCATTACCTATTCTGTTTCATTATTTAAGGAACCAATGATACAAAAGAGTGATCTCGTGGTATCTTCCAATTTCTCGTTGAAAGACTCGTTCCAATATAAATTCGAGTCGAATGGTAATTATTCTGCAGAAGTGAAAGTCATGTTTGAGAGAAATGTTTTGGGAAGTGTGAAAAGTCTCAACAAATTGCAAGTGGTGAATTATGAAGAGCTCATGTCAGAGAACTCGATGAAGGATATTCCCGTGAAAGAAGTGGCTTCTCTTGCCTTAAATCCAGAAATGTATTCGAATGCATCCACAATGGTGAACACCTTGTCAGTTTTGACACGTGTTTTGACAAGTAGCTCAGTAAGAAATTCTTCGGACCTGTCAGAGACTTTGACAGTTGTCAATGCTTTGGGTGCCATTTCATCGAATAGGGAAGAATTTTTACCAACGACAGTGATGAGTAGTATTTCATCGTTTTTGAGCAATGTTTCAAGTGAAATTGTGGTCATAAGCCAAGGAATGACAAGTGACAGCTCAAATGGACAATTATCGACTGTGGAATCTACAGCAAAGAATATTCTCACTGAGGATTTTTAATCTCAGACCCACACACCCAGCAAAAATGAACCTGGGATTGGGTGAGTTGGGTGTGAGGACGGCGTTTAACCTAGGAGCAGAGAATCGCGTCTGTATTTTACATAGTTATCGTCGGTAGTAAATGAAGCTTATTGAATGCATATTGTGCATAAGTAGTGTCTCCTTATTGCGGTCTGTTATTTCGAAGGTGATTCAAGCTTGTTTCCGCAGGTACAGCCGACGGTAAAACTCGAGATAAAAAATACTGTCGGGAGTTACTGATGAAAAGAATCCACCAAGACACAAAATACAGCCGGAAGAAGCATCATGTTAAATATTCTAATAATGGAGGTTTAATGAACGAAATAACGACGGAAATACTGTTGAAATAACCTACCACAACACCTGTGGCTGTTACTATCGATGATAATGATGGAAATCTTCTTATTTTATTTTAATTCAATTTGAAATTTTTTTGGTTCAATATTTGATTTAAAATTGTTATTGCAAATGCATTTTAAATTTTATTGGCATCATAATTTACAACTCAACAACGTTGGCAGGGTTGACAGGTCTTGAGCGTCTCATTTTCGCTGATGATGATTTACGTAAATGCTCTTGATACAATTTATATTCCTCAGAATTGATGTCATATACATCTTCGTCGTTTTCAAAGTCAAAAAGGTTGTCTGAATTTTTGCTTTTTGAGACTCCAGATCTTCTACGAAGTTTCGCCTTCTTTTTTGCGTTCACAAATATTTGACTTATATGTTTCCTGCATATCTTTATCAACTAAAAACGATTGTTGTGAAATTTAGTCAAACAAATAACAAACACAACTTACTATTTCATCTACCTGGGATTTATCACAATCTGAAAGAATACTATAGTTTGGAAGACTTGAACAAAATGTTTGAACATAAGTAACCACTGTGTCTGAAAGTTGAAGCTTTTGCTCTTGTGTTTGGGGATTAGAACAGATCTGAAGAGTTAAAATTTATAGGAACAACATTACAACTTACTTGGGAGAGAAATGAATGAAATTTCAATTTACAACATTGTTTGATGCTTCATGGAAAGAAATGATTACCAAGAAATATTGACAAGAAACAAACCTTGCGTTGTTCTGAGTTAAGAATTGCTTGCTTTCTTGAAAAAGTGTTATATTTAATGATGGAGCTATATAAGAAATGTTTTTTCGATTACGTTTCTTCTTGATACCCCTTACAGTGTCAGTTGGCATTATGATTGGTTTTTTTTTGTTTTGATTTTTGAAAATATTTAAACGGGTCAACTTTGAAACTATTGGAGAGAAGTTTTTGTAAGCGAGTTCAGATCGAGCGCGCACAGGAAGCGTTTTCTTTACAAAAAAAAATATCATGCTTCAGAACAAGGCCGAATCCAAATTCTTTGACGTGGTTTCCTTGAGAATGTGCCACAAGTGCAATGTACATGATTTGGAATTGTATATCCATAATTCGGCAAAGTGTAAAACCTTGAATCCCTCTATCAAATGCACTTGTTTTTCATGCGGCACAACTTACTTCACTTGTCCTTTTTGCAAAGATTGCTTCTCCGACTCTCATGCATCCAATTTTTTAAAACACATGAAAAGATGTTCAAACAAAGATGAAGCTCAGAACCCCGTTTTCAAGTGTTGTTCCGAACAAACGACAGAGTTTGATCATTATTATTCTCATATCATCAAAAATCATTGTGGTCATTTGTGTTCGTTTTTAAAAAAACTCAAACATGAGGATAAAATGGATGACGAAAAAAACAACAAGAAAACGACAGGAGTGGTTGTTATGGAGGAAGGTTGTGATATTGGTGGTTTATTGATGAACTTAGAAGCTCTCACTGCTGACGTGCAGAATTTAGTACAAACACCATTTCCAATATTTGAATTTTTTGAGAAACTGAAACAATCTATGCCATATGTATCAAATCACTCGTGCGAGCATGAACAAGAATTTCACTTCCCTAAAGATCACCCTTTTGAAAGTTTTGAAGAATTATGTTGTTTTATGTTAATCAATCACTTTGGAATTTCTAAACAAGCATATAATTTCATGATTCAAATGCTGAAATCAACATTTAAAGACCGTCCTGAGTTGATGAAATTATTTGTGAGCTATGATACCTTGAAAGCAAGAGGAAATAATTTGAATCCCCAAAAACCCATGCAGTTCAATGATAATTTCATCCTTTACTCTGTACAAGATACTATTCGAAACATGTTAATGGATCCGTATTTGGTCAACCAATTATGTCTCAACCGAGAAAAGCATCAACAACAGTTTGCAACCAAGCAACCATTTCAATCTAAAATATTCAACAAAATTTTGGAGAAGTGTCAAAGTGATATATTCCCTCTTGTGATGCTGATATATGTGGACGATTTTGTAAAATTCAGAACAAAGTCAACATCAACATGTGGAGTGTACTCAAGTTTGTTGAATTTCAATAGCGACTTCATGAGAAAACTTGAATCTATAAGCTTACTTGGGTTCTCAAAAACTCACTGCGATTTTTGGACAATGACAAGCCATTTGATGAAAGAAATTAATCACCTTGATGGGGAGATAATTGAAATAGAAGATCCCTCTACAGGTGAGTCTAGAAAATTTCAGATTGTTGTTGCAGGGTTTTTATGGGACACAGTCGAGAAGATGTATTCCTTGCAACTCATGAAAGAAGAATGTAGCCGTTGTGAAGGAATTTATGATAATCAACATAAAACACCAGATTGTTTATTTGGAGCGTCTACGATAGAAGATCCAAAGTATGTCACGCATTTCGAGAAAAGAAATATATTTGAAGCAAACACTGTTATTAATAGCATCGATTTAAGATCAAATGACAGAACAAAGGACAAGGGTTTTAAACCCTTAATATGGGAAGAAATGCAATTCAAAGATTTGAAATTATCTAAAGCGAAAATAACGCAAAAATTACGAGAATTACCTGTTCTGCATATCAAATGCATTCCACAACTAATGCTATCAGCAATAGATATCAGCAAAGTCAAGTCTAAATGTAGCTGTATTTGCTATTCATTGCCATCTGGGTTAAAGTGGCAATTGAATCAATTTGCATTTTGTTATAATTTTTGTAAATAAATATTAATTTTCTAAATATTTCAAAAATCAACAAGTCTTATTCAACAAAGTATCGATGAAAATAATTCGTGGTACTTTCATCCGAACCAATCCGAAGGTATTGTCCGTCGTTGTTATCATAATTAATTTCAATCATTATTTTGTCAATATTATTCTCCGTCCATATCTTGCCAGTGGTATTTCATCCGACAGTATTGGTCGAGCAGTAAAATATGTCATATATTCGTCGGTCAGTATTTTCCTCATTTACTTTTCCGACGGTATTTTGATGACCAGTATTATGCACATGTAATTGCCCTGTTGTATTATGTCGTCCTTGATGCCATGGTTAATATCCATCAGTATTTTAACCAGGGATATTCTCCATCCGTATTCGTCCAGCAGTATTTTAATCGAAGGTATTTTTCGATGGTAGATAAACGTCTTATTTTTGACCGCACTTATTCTCTGATTACTCATGCGGTATACCTGCTTCCTTCTGCTCCTAGGAATCTCAAACACAACACAAATCCAAATCAATCTTCAAAAAAAAATATTTCTGCAACAAATATGATGATCATCAGCGTTTTATTATTGAAATTTGAACAAAGTGTTTGGCATGGTTTTAACCAACGGATTGCTTTTCAAAATAGCGTTCGAACATAGAACAGCTACCATTGCAACATATGGAAGCAAAGATTTTCTTTGTCTCCATCTTGTTGCCGTTGCTGATAATCGTTTTACATATCCGAAGGTCATTTCTACAATCATTCTCTCAGATTTGTGTTGCACAAAGAGATCAGGCTTACTTCTGATGATGGTTGATGTTGGAAGTACCAATTCAACTCCATGTTTGAATGTTTTTGCTTGATATCCACCATCAGCAAGGACCATCACACCCTGTAAGTATTTTTGGATATTACTGAAGAATAATACATCTTTGTCGTTCTTGCTTCCAGGAAAACCAACCGTAAAATGTAAAAATCTGCCTTGAAGATCAACTAACGCTTGTCCGATGAAAGAATGGATACATTTGTCACCACGATAATAGATAGCCTGATCTACACTTGGCTTGGAGATTCTGAAATGCGTTGCATCAAGCGCGCCTATTACTAGTCTATCAATGTTAGAGCTTCCTTGTAATACAGTCAAATGTCCTGGCATAACAACCTCGTTCATATAGGCCGATAATAATATGGGAATAATATGTTTGATTTCCATGCAAACATATCCTTTGGAAACTCCAAACATTTCTGACAGCAGAGCAAATTTGGAATATGATCCCATCCAAACACAGATTAGCAGTAATCTGTTTTTTGGAGTAAGTTTTGAGTATCTGTATTCACGTTTAGTATTGATATTTCTTCTCAAGTCATAATATCTTCTTGGCTTTAACAGTTCTAATTTGATCCTAGAATACATTTCTTCAAACTCAGCACGAGTTAAATGAGTGAAATCCATCAACTTATCGTCATCCCATTTTCCATAATTGTCAACTCCTTCCACCTTACTTTTTGGTTTTCGGTATTGACTTCGTCCTTGCCCACAAAATGGAGTTTTAGTTCTAAATTTTTTGGAAGTATAATATGGCTCTTCTGGTGGCAAAGGCATTACTGGAGGGATTAATGAGCAAGCAAGTAATTGAAGTCTTTTCAAATACTTTTCATCCCATGAGCATGCTTTATACATCAACAATTCTTGTTGTAGGTTATTTAATTTTGATATGAAACTATTGACATTGATATGACTATTTACACCTGGGTAATCAATCAACTCAGGATGAGTAATGATGACAGTTGCTGCCATCATTAAATAAGTGATGACGACATGTAATGTATTAGGCAGCATTTTTTTTCAGTTTGCATTGTAATATTACAATATTACATATTTTCTCAAACTATTGTAAATTTACAACAATTAACCGTTACAACCGTTACAACCGTTACATAATTCACCAACCCTATTTAACGTAGTTGACTAGTATTGTTTTGAAGAATCATCCATTAAAAAAAACAATGGCCAATACTCAACCCAAGAAGAAGCAAAAACCAACCAACACTCAACCTAACTCAAGTCAAGCATCAAGTAGCAATCAATCACAGGACCAATCCAGCACGGGAAAACGATGGACAGACTCTGAAGTCCTTGCTGCATTACAACTTTACAAACAAGACAAGGATTGGGAAAAGGTTGCGAGAAAAATTAAGGAATTATTTGACAACAAAGAATGGAATTGGCATGTGCGTGGTGACAAGAGTTGTGCTGAAAAGTATCGCAGATTGAAGGAGGAATTGAAAAAGGAAATTATTGAATATAGATCAAAACTCTCAGAGAAATTTAATAATCACACTCTGAAAATTAATCAAGATGTCGAATTATGTATTGACGAGGTAGTTATTGGTAAAGGTACCATCTTGAGTGCAAATCCATCTAATAACGAAGATTTATTCCATTGCCACGGTAAAACATATCCATACAACCAATTTGCTAAAATTACAATCAAGTCCCACGATGCAAGTAAGAAAAATTTACTCTTACCATCATCAGTCGTGACATCTGAATTTAAGACAGTTGGTGATTTGCAACAAGGTTCCATCATTGCTTTTCCTTTAACAAATTTATTGATTTTGAGAACTTTTGATTTATTTGAACCAAGTAATCCCATTTTGAAAGAAGTGTGGGATATTGAACGTGATAATCAACAATTTTTATTGACCACCGGAGAACTTAATTCTAATCCAGAAGACAATGTAATTGATCTTGTTGAACGTGATATTCAAGACACCGATCGTAGAAGAAATGCTATCCAAGAAAGAACAGATATTCAGCGCATGCATACCATTCAACATATGACATTCTATAGAAACAGTGAGAAGTGGGCCGAAGTATTGGATAAATTAACGGAGACATTCGAACTGGCCAACACTCTTATGAAGTCACATCAGGGCAAAGATAAGGTTGTTGTGTTGTCTTATAATGGAAAAAGAAAGAAGGTAGTTGTTTCTGACATCAAAGTATTGATTTACTTGTCTGGTGATTTTCTTTCATTCCTTCAGGAAAGAGTAACTTTAGGGGTGTGTACTTTTACTGATTTATTGAACAGAATAGTTCTTACAACCTCCGAAGGATTTATTGTCAATGACACGTATTCATTTGAAGCTCTTTCTTCAACAGAAACCACTGAACTCTCCATCAGTGTCATTGATAGAATGCACGATGATGAATAATAAATTTATTGATATTTCTTTATTCAAAAATTTTTTGAGTGTGAAATGGGTGGGTGGGTGTGAGGTACGGCGTTTAATCTCAACTCACCCAACCTGTGTGGGTGTGAGATTAAAAATCCCCACTGCATTCTCCAATTGCTTTTCATTTCAAAATTTCACACCCTCGCCATTGGAAACCAATTCTGTTTTAGAAAATCTCATGATTGTTGGCTCCACCACATCGACACGTTTTGAACATTTATTACAATTGACAAGCACTGCTTTCCAAATACATGTGAAACGAAACTTATTGAACGATCCATCTCAAAACCATGAAACATCTTCAGAACCATTACAAATTCCAAATCAAGGTGGACGTATTTCAACTCCTTTCGAATTAAGAAATTTGAATTCGAATAACGTTTCCGCAGCGGTTATGAGTTTTGGAAATTTGGAAAAGGTGAAAAATTTATATTCTTGGAATCGAGATGTAACGACACAATTGATCAATTCCACTCAATTCGAGAATTTGCAACAAGTTGTGGATGCGCTCTCTAATTCAAGTACCGTTCAACGTGTGAATTTGGTGATACCTTTCGAACTTAAATATTTGCAAAATAGGGCCATTCTTCCGGTTCGTGAATTGACAAATCCTGTAACCATGGAAATTAGAATTCCAAAACAAGCTCATGAGTTAATGACCCAAATTATAGAGTCTTCTTCAAATTATAGAATAGTCTGCATGTATTGGAATGAAACCAAGTTGAGTTGGGAAAGTAATGGCTGTTTGACTGAATTGCTCAACACCAGTACTGTCACATGTCAATGCAATCACACCACCACTTTTACAGCCTTCGTTGAGGTTAACAATCTTCTCAATCAAGTCGACCTAGCCATCACTATTGCCCAAATCATTGTATCTTCTCTATTAATTATCGTAATTTCAGCATTCCTCCTCCTTTTCATCCTGACAAGTCAAAAGAATCCAATGAAAAGCCGATGGATTCTTCCATTCTTTGCATTGGCTTCTCTGATTGTAGAATTGATATTTTCCTTTATTGTACCTAATGCTATTTCTCTATCAGGATCAGATCGATCTGTCCTTTCCGCTGGTAACATTGTCAAGCAAGTATCTGCCATGATTTCCGTTACCTTTTTTGCTCTCGCTTTACTCAATTACGTTGTCTTGGTTGTTAGATATTTACTTTTCAGATACATGTATGAAATTATGGAACTATTTGCAAAACTTGTCCATGACAAGGAGGTCATTATGAATCGAAATGTATCGTCATCGAACATGAATTTTGATCCATCTCAAGATTTTGAAAATAATCAACCAAAATGGTTTTGGCTGTTGAAACGAATGGCCAGTAAGGGAGTTCAAATTATGGTGAATATTGTCTTGGCCATTATAATTATTGGATACTTTGTAATTTTCATTAGTTTGGTTGGAACGAGCTCGATTGCAAGTACGAGCTATACAAAAGTTATGGCCGGATCTCTGTTGGGATATGTCCTTGTCATTTCATTGATTGTGATCATAGTGTTTGTTTTGGACGCTGTTTTTGAAAGTCGTTTCACACAAATGACAGATGAAACCAAACTCACTCTTTCAAAGAAGAATTCTGAGATGGATTTTAAAACACAAGAATCACAGAAGCAACTCATTGAGTCCTTCCTCAATGGAATTAAGAATTATTTTACAACAAATGACGCATTATCGTTTCGAGCGGAATTTATTTACTACATGACAGGAGTTGCTTGTTTTGTTATTTCTTATTCATTGGGTTTATGGTTTATTGATCAACCTACGAGAAATGGTCGAGCGGAGCAGGGAGTGCAGTTGGCATTCGACGTCTTGTCAGTATTATTTTTCATTGCTGCCTTTGGAGGACACGTGTCGATAGTGACCGCTGTCAATTATATGAAATCCAAGAGAATGAAAGGTTATAGAAACGTTGAAACGAGTGTTGATTCAGAAGACGACATGAGTGAAGAATTGAGAGAAATATTAACACAACCCTCTCTGTGCAAAATTTTCGAACAGTATGCAAAATTGGAATTCTCATTAGAAAATATTATTTTCTGGAAGAAACTGGATCGAATGAAACAGTTGCTGAATCAAAGCATTAACAACCAACATGATTCTACAAATTCGAAAACAATTTCATCATGGGAATTACTCGAAAAGGAATTTTCACAATGGAAAGTCGATCACATGGATGCCAACGCTTCAATGGAAATTAACTTTCCTTCCCATATCAAACACAAATTTAATGCCATCCATACTCAATTACAAAAACAAGAACCCTCCGCTCTTCCCTCACAACAACTCATTCAAGAATTATTCCAAGACATGCATTCCGATCTCATCTTGAATTTGAGTGATACCTTTTCAAGATTCATGTTCACTGAGAGTTATGAGAAAATAATGACCTTTATGCAACTCAAGAAGGAAATGAATGCATCTTTTGATGACACACAACAAAACAACAGCAGCAAGAGCATTTTGTAAATCATGATGGGTTGTTGAAACAAGTAAATATGTGCTATTCTTGATATTACAAAGAATGCGAGTTAGTTTTGATTTAGTTTGAAATTCCAAAAGGCTTGCACTACGTTGTTGAACAAGTAAAGCCTTGATAGGTTTGATGTTCCACAAGGCTCGCACTTTTGTGTTTTGTTAAACAAAAAAAACGCAAGATAGCCATCACCCAGAAATTAATAGTTGTACATCGGCACTTCATCAAATCATTGAGTTTTTAATGGATGATTCCCTATATTCCCTCATCATCAAATACATATTGAGTTTAAATCAATTCTACAACACAATTTTTGTTCCGATATTCTTCAAATTTGGAAATTACTGGCTTTGTAGTACCATACTTCAGTATCATATCATCCGATGAGCAAGAGATATTACCAAAGTAGTGGCAGTAGTGGTCATGGAAGGGGAGGATACTCTCAAGATCATCATCATCACTACAGACGAGAAGAAGGCTCTTATGGCAGCGAGCGATTTGGTTCGGGAACTGAAAGCCTTCAAATTAAACGGTACAAGGACACTCATCGTCCGCAAGCAAGTTCTTCATCAGGCTCCGTATTGAGAACCAACTTTTATCCCATCAGAATGCTACCCAATCGTCAATTTTACATTTACAGTGTTTCCATTGCAATTCAAGCAACCAGAGACTCGTTACCTTCAGACATCTATAGTTGGGCAGATTCCATGTTGAAAAACGTGTATTTTAAGAACAAGCTGTTTTACATCTTGAGACGACAAGGCTTACTGAATTTGGACAGTCCAAGTCAACAAGAAAACATTAAGGGTTTACCATTCTTTGATGGATCCATTTTGGTGTCAATCTTTGAGTTGGAACAATTTAAAGAAGTGCAAATACCTGGAAGCTTGACACCTCGTTCGCAGCAGCCAACACCTGTTAAGGTATTTGACATTACGTACAGGAGAATGGAGCATATTATTCCGTTTCGAATTACGATCACCAAACTCACGAGCGTTGGACTTAATCAAAAGATTCAAGACGTTAAATTAGATCAAGCCGTTTCATTTTGTTTAGAAACTCTGTTCGTCAATCACTTGGACATGGTCTTGTTAGGAAAGGGTAAGTTTTTACGATGGGTATTAGATACATCTCTTTACTGACGTGCCAATCCACCATCACCATCTGAATGTGTCTTGTGTTCGTTTTGAACTCTTTATAATCTCAGCCATGTGTGAAAAGACAGGTAGAATTGAAAACAATTTCAACATTAGGAAAGGAGTTATCCCATCACTCATATTTATCACCTCTGGCCTTCATTTAAACTTAACATTCAAACAAAAGATTACAGCATCCTCACCCATTATCCACAACATTGAACATTATGAAAATACTGGAACATCAAAGGAAAGAATCAGTAACACGTTCCGTGGCTGCAGTGTGGTGTACAATAACAAATCTTATGTTATTAAGGAGATTGATTTTTCACAAAATCCATTGAGTACCTTTAAAAAGGATGGACACGATATCACATTCAGAGATTACTATAAGGACAGATATGGTGTCGAGATTAAAAACTTGAAGCAACCGCTCATTTCGACCACTATCAAGATGAGAAACCAAAAAAAGCAAAAGATTTATCTAATTCCAGAGTTATGTTATCTCTCTGGAGTGACCAAGCAAGAATTGAGAAAAATACCAAAAGTAACTGTGCAACAAAAAGAAATATTTGTAAGGGACATTGTTCAGAAAGCCAACTCAAACAAAGCTAAAGAATATTGTGACTCTGTTGGACTGGCCATTGATCAAAATCCAATTCAATTGAATTTAGAGACGTTGAACGAATGTAGAATTGTCTCCCCCGAAGTTGTACAAAAAAGAGACAAATGGACCATCTCCACCAAGAATTTGAACGACTATTTTTATCAAATGCATGACACTTGGCTCGTTATAGGCGAGTCTCGAGATGTTGACGAATTACTTCGTGTCAGCGAAAGGCATCAATTACCTAGGCCAATTGAAATATTAATTCGGTCAAGCTCTGGTCACAAAGACGAATACATGAACGAGTTGGAAAAAATTGCAGACTGGACGAGAATCAAATTCGTTTTTGTTTTGTTAAAGGATCCAAACAAAATTCGCTATGCAAATATCAAAAGATATTTAAGCACAGAAATAGGAGTTCCTTCGCAGTGCATTGTTTGCAATTCGCACGATTGGACCAAACGATTACCAAATAGCTTATTTCAGATTGCTGCAAAGGCTGGATGTATCATCTGGACAGTGGAGAAGAACGAGGACGAAGTATTCCTATCTATTTGCGGTGTTGAACTCCAACGACGAGGAAGGATGGCTAAAGGAGCAATAACAATAAGTCTCAATTCCACATATACTCTCTATCATACAGTTACGTTCAAAAATGTTGACATTGATGTTGCCAAGCTCGAAATCATCAAAGGCATCGAGGAAGGTCTGGAACGTTTCATAGCAAGAAATCTAGACCTTCCTCCGGCCCTGATTATTTATTATTCAGGACAAGACTTTTTAGACATTTCAGAATCCATTAATGATTTAGCAGAACGTTTGCAATCCAAACAGCGTGAACAGTATCAGACCGACCAGTTTGAAAACATGTTTAGTGTGTGCCTTATTAGCGTCAATAAGGACACTAACGCAAGATTTAACACTGGTAACTATGACAATACACCAGTGGGTACATGCGTCAAGACACTCTCCAGAATGTTCACACAAGAGTTTTATTTGACCTCTTGTTTTATTTCCAGCAATATTGGATATAGCAGACCCGTACGATATCAAATTTTGAGCAACACTACAAAATTTGACGTGGATCAATTGACAAATATCACGTTCAAGCAAACACATCTTTATTTCAATTGGAATGGAACAGTTCGATTACCTGCGGCTTGTCTTTATGCAAAGAAGGCCACAGAGGCAGTGGACACAACCAACGAGAAAGCACATCCTAACCTACAAAACTCACTTCACTTTCTATAATGTGTTGGCCAATGAGTTATTCCAGTTCATTTACACTCTTGTCTCACATAAGCTTGTAAAGGGCAAACTCCATTCTTGTGCGATTTTGCTCATATAACTGCGCCGGTCAGACTTGAGAATTCCCAACCTGTAAGAGGTTGCACCAGCCATCGGCAAGATGCAAAGATGAAAAGCAGAGACACAAAAAATGTTAAATCAGTCGTCTCACAGCACGCAACAAGCGAGCAGCTCCTCTGCAAACCAACCAAGCAGACCCAGAGTCTACGCTGCAACATCAACAGCACAGGAAAATGCACCAACAAGACAAAATCGTGCACCAGCACTACTTGCTTCATCTAGTACTTCATCACAAGCTGACGCATTATTGATAACAGGAAAATCTGCTTCAGTCTCAGAGCATGAGAATAAGAGATTTTCACAAGTAATTTTGATGTGCAGCAAATGTCGCTCAAATTTGGCTGTAAATTCAACTCAACGTGGCATGTTCAAGGTATTCAAAGAAGGTCAAAGTAAACATCTTGTTCTCTTTGATCAAAGTGTTATCGGAAAGACAATCATTGAGAAGGAAATGACCAATAGCCAACAGAAAGACAAAACATTCGAAAAGACACATTTATTGTTTTGTAGTTCTTGTCAAGAAAAGATTGGATGTAGACTGTCAGGATGTTTTCCGAATACCGATCTTCCAAAAAGAATGTTTGATGGAGAAAGCTGTCAAGTAACATGTACAGAGAAGGATACCCAAGAGCAAGTTGTAATGAATGTGAAAGAGTGGCGAAAATTGAGATATTCATTGAAAGATTTTAGTTTGTATCCTCCACCACAAGCCAATTTTTCTTCAACAAGATATGATCCAACTAAAGCTGTAAAGGAATCGACAAGTGGAAGGAAAGCAGATGAAAGGGGAATGAATGAAAGTTACCAATTTGTAAGAATGAATGACAACAACGTTCAACAATCAAAAAGCTTCCAACCATCACAGAATACTCGAACAAGAGCCCAACATCTTCAACCAAAAGAAGTTAATAGAACAAATCCAATGAAAAGCTATGACGTTGTTGATATTTTTGACGAACCTGCAGGTAGAAGTGATCCATCAACATTATCTAGCTCAAGCTTTACTCGCAAATCATTTCAAGTACAGTATCCAACACCTCAAATAGAAAAACTACCTACAAAGGAAAAAAAGGTTTACACTATCCAAACGGTTAGAGACCTGCATCGGTATATTGATTGTTCTCTCTTAAAAGAAGGAAACGAACAGTATTTCATCAAGAACCTCTTTCAAGACCTGTTCAAATCCATTTTTGGTACAGAGGGAGTATTACAACAATATTCTATCGACTTTAAGCTCATTGAAAAACTTCTCATGGTATTTTCACACAGAGAAATTGAAGTAACAACAAACAAGACCCAAGTTACTACCATGTTCTCACTCCTCATGAACTCCTCTTTCTGGAGAAGAGATGTTAAAAAGTACATTATGAACGATGTTGTTGATGATGAGCAAATAGAAACAATAATTACAATATTTCAGAGATGTTTGGATTTTTGCCCATTGGAAGCCGAGAGGGTTTACATTGAAGAATTGGAAAAGATTTATATTGAAAAGTTTTTAAGTCAAACTTTTAAGGAATCTATTGAGAATTTAAAGTCAAAGAAGAAACACGTTTTGAAATCCAATAATTCCATCGCGGATGAACCCGAAGAAGATGATCTAGAAGGAATAGACATCGATATTGGTATTTTCCCAACTTGGAATGAATTGACATCGAACAACAAATTTACAATCAAGAACATTGTTGATAGAAGTTATCCTTCGCTGAAGCACTATCTTTATACTCAAATCATGTTATTGAGAGAAGATTTTATACATCCTCTTAAAGAAGGCATTAGATCCTTCCTTTCTAACGAGCTCAATCATAGAATAATCTCGGTGTTCACAGATGTACAATTTCGGTCAGTTATTTCCTTAGACAATGAACGTGAATTGGTGCACTCTCTTTCTTTCAATTATCCATGGAAGAAAGTAAATTGGGAATGTAGCAAAAAACTTGCCTTTGGTTCTCTGCTTTGCTTATTCCCTCAAGAAGGTTTCGGTAAGAACGCAACACTTGTGAAGAGCGAACCAATTTTCGTCACTGTTGTTGGAAGACAACATTTGCGAACTGGACAGATTTATGTTACTGTATGCAGAGAGGAAGACTATGCGAGGCTTTCTTTTACAGGAATGTATATCATGTTCGAATCTCCTGTATACTTTGCAAGTGTTAGACCTGTCATTGATGCTTTAAAGATGATTCGCTCAGAAAACTTGTTAAGTCACTCAAAGTTTTCCTTCTACGACGAATTTATCAAAGTGAAAACTCAAAAACCTCCACAATATGTGGAAAAAGTCAGTGTTATGAGCTTGGATGTCATTTCAGGAAAATCAAGAAAAAGTGTCCAAAGTAACGTATCGGTTGGTCAAAATATTGATATCATGAGTGACTGGATTGATGACAATGACACCTTCCTTGATTCAAGTCAAAATAGTGCAATTAAGCATGTCATGAGAAATAGAGTTGCCATTGTAATTGGTCCACCGGGTACAGGAAAGACATTTACAGGTATAGAGGTTGCAAAGTTGATGAAAAGTCATCCATATATGAAAGAGAGACAATTGGTTTGTATTACCTACACAAATCATGCGTTGGATCAGTTTTTGGAAGGTCTCCTTGATTATTTCCCGGATTTAGTTCGTGTTGGCTCGAGAAGTAAAAGTCAAAATGAGAAATTATTGGCTAGAAATATTTCCAACTTGAGATATTTGCCGAAATACTTATTGTTACAAAAGAAGCACTGTGAGGCTGAACTGAATATATTAACAAAAGAAATAGGTTCGATCGAACAATCAATTAAGAATCCAGATGAAAGTCTTTACCATATCATTTGCAAATCAATGGTTTTTAAGAAGGCACTTATAAAGTTTCCAACCCACCTGTATACTAAACGTAACCCAGCACCACACAGTTTTCTGGACATGTTTAATTGTTGGTTGAATGGAGATGATTTGAGAAGAATGGAATATCTCAGAAGGAACAACTTTATTAATCATCTTGGGAACTCATTTAGTGCCCTAAGAGATCAGAACAATGAAGTCGAGTTAGAGATTTTTGAAGAAGTCAAACTTGAGGAAACTAAAGCTGTTGAATTTATAGAAGAAATTGAAATACCTGAAGAGAGAATTGAACAAGAAATAGAAGTGGAATTGATTGAAGAAGAAATGAACAATAGATTTGGTTATGACGAAGCCGATTTCACCAATGCAACATCAATATTTAACTATTATTGGGAGTTTGGCTATGATACTACTTTGGATCCAGAAATTGCAAGGATTGAAGATGAAGTCAAACAATTTGGTGATATTTACCGAATTCCTCTTGAAAAACGCAAATCTATGATGAAGCGATTGACAAGCCTTAATGAAGAAGTACTCAGGAAGAGGCTTGTCGATTTTATTAAGAAAAGGAGTTATTGGGAGGCGAGAAAGAGAGAAATACTGATAGAAAGGGATTATTTAGTTTTGAGTGATGCTTCGATTATTGGATTAACTTCAACAGCAGCCTCAATGAACAGAAATTTACTGAATCGGTTAAGAGCACCAATTTACCTTATTGAAGAAGCAGCCGAATTGTTGGAATGTCAAATAACTTCAGTATTACATCCTAATGTTCAGCATTTAGTAATGATTGGTGACGAGAAACAACTTCAACCGAAAGTCAACTCTTACTATTTGGAAAAGAATTGTGATTTCACTGTGAGCTTATTCGAAAGATTAATTAGAAATGGGCTGAAATATGTTTCTCTCAATATTCAACAAAGAATGAGACCTGAAATTAGAGGACTCATAGATATGTTCTATGAAAAACTCACAGACCATGAGTGTGTCACCAAATTCGAACATGTGACAGGTGTGAGCACAAATATTTGTTTCATTGAACACAAGAAACCAGAAAAGACCTCCGAAGATATTCAATCCTTGACAAATCCACATGAAGCTGAGTTTTTAAGCAAGTTTTGTAAATATTTGCTCAATGTCAGACAATACAAGGCAAATAACATTACAATATTGACACCGTATAGAGGGCAAGTGATCCTTATAAAGAAAACTCTTAAGGAATTGATAGATCAACAACAATACAACAATATTAGAGTTTCAACAGTGGATGATTATCAAGGAGAGGAAAATGAGATTATTTTGCTTTCGCTTGTGAGATCTAATAACTATGACAATCTTGGCTTTGTTAAAATTACAAACAGAATAATTGTCTCGTTGAGTAGAGCAAGAAAGGGTCTTTACATTATTGGAAATTATGATTTATTGAGAAATAATGAGGATTGGAGAAAGATCTTTTCAAGACTAAAGCTTTCAAATAGAATTTTGGATCATTTACCTCTGTCCTGTCCTAAACACACAGAAGAGAAAGAATGTATCAGGGAGCCTCATGATTTCGATCAAGTTATTTGGGGAGGTTGTAAGAAACCATGCACCTATCGATATGACTGTGGTCACATCTGTTCACTACCATGTCATCATGATTCGTTACATCAGGAAAGAAAATGTGAGAAAATTTGTGATGAAAAACATGCAGAATGTGGACACAGATGTAAGGCCATGTGCCACTCTGGAAAATCTTGTCCCAAATGTACAACTCTAGTTAATTACAAGTTTGTAGATTGTGGTCATACTACCCAAATTAAGTGCTACTTGAAAGATACAGCTCAACTGTGCAAGGAAAGGTGTCAAAAGCCTCTTAAATGTGGACACATCTGTAACGGAGAATGTGGTTCATGTAAATTGACTGGTTGTGGTCCATGTCAGACAACGATCAAAGATACTTGTGAAACATGTAAGAGATCCTATTCTAGAAAATGTTCAGATCCTAGAATATGTACCAATCCGTGCACATTCAAACTTACTTGTGGACATAATTGTTCTGGAAAGTGTGGTGATTGTACTGTTTCAAGTCCATGTACTCACAAAACATGTGGATTTAATTGTGAAAGAACACTCATCTGTGGTCACATTTGTAAGGTTAAACATACTTGCAGTACACCATGTTCAAAATGTGAAGAAACGTAAGTATTCGAACTGTGTTGTTGGGAATTATGTCATTCACCTTCCAATAGTTGTGTTTTCAAATGTTTTCACAAGGTGAAGTGTGAATTATCTTGTCATGAAATGTGTTATCCATGTAAAGAAGCATGCCCTATTCGATGCTCTCACAGACAATGCTCCAATTTGTGTTCTGAACCATGCGATATTGAACCTTGTAATGAAAGATGTCCAAATAAGTGTTTACAATGCGGCACTCCGTGTATGGGTTTGTGTGGTGAGCCATGTCCACCGTGCATGCATTGTGCTGCTTTGAACGGAGAAGTATGGCAATGTCCAATCTCATTCATGAATTTTGAAGATTTAACCACAGATGAAAGAGTTTACTACTTGCCTGAGTGTGGACATATTTTTGAATTAGAGTCAATGGACAACTGTGTGAGAACGTTCTTTGAAACAGAACAGGGTATCTCCATCAAGTATTTGAGCTGTCCATGCTGCAGAACTCCAATTTTCACAGCTCCAAGATATCAAAAATCCATTAAGGAATGTGTGAAAAGAATGGAACATTTAAAATATATCATTTACAAGAAGGAGGAGGAGGAAAAACAAGCAAGAAAAGATGCTATTAGAATTGTATCTGCTGAGGCTGGATATGCATCTGGACATTGGTTTTGTTGTGAGAATGGACATCCTTATTTTATTGGGGAATGTGGTGGAGCCATGCAACAGAGTGTTTGTGTGGATTGTGGAGCACCGGTTGGAGGTTCTAGTCATCGCTTATTAAGCTCCAATCGTTTGGCCACAGACATTGATGGAGCCACTGCTCCTGCATGGCCTACAGCTCTCAATCAAGATTAATCTTTATGAGGCATTCGTGAAATAAACGAAGATATATCAAATCCGACGAACTTTCGCCTTTTATTGAACAGCAGGAGAAGGTGAAGTAATTAAGTGACTGCAGGGTCGCTTGTGGACGTCGCCTTTTTTTGGTTCATCGATACAGTTTGTGTGACGCTTCCTTAGTCAATAATTTAATAACTAAATGAAAGTGGAAAAGTTTGAATAGGCCTTTCTCACTGCCAATTGTTGTTCTTTCAAATTTTGAACAAATTGTTGGAATAGCTCAGGTGTAAGACTATCCACTTCACCAGAGGCCAATTCTTCTGCTGTGGCTCGCAAGGACTCATAAACATCTCGTTGTGCGTCATTGATTTGATCGTACGACATTGGTTTGTTGGCTCTCATTCCCTGCTCGAAATCTTCAGCAACAATGGAAGCTCTGTCAATAATATCCATTGGAACACCAGCTTTTTTCGCCACTTGAATTCCATAACTCTTCTCACAAACTCCTTTTTTGAATTGGTATGTGAAAATGACATCTAAAATTTTACCATTTTCATCTTTTTGGACTTCACAGGTCATTTTGTAGAAATCAATATTTGGGTGATATCTCATTTCCTCTGTTAACTCAAAATAGTGAGTACTAAACAAACACAAACAACCAACAACGTCAGCCACATATTCAAGAATGGAACGAGCAAGTGCATAGCCATCGTGTGTAGAGGTACCTCGTCCAAGTTCGTCCAAAATCACCAATGAGCTCGGAGTGGCATGACGAATAATGTTGGATGTTTCATTAAGCTCAACCATAAAAGTCGATTCTCCTGCCATAATTCTATCGTTGGCACCAATTCTTGTAAAGATTCGATCAACAAGAGTAAATTCACAACTCTCGGCAGGAACAAAACATCCAAGTTGTGCCATAATCACAGCAACACATGCAGATCGAAGTATCGTTGATTTTCCTCCCATGTTAGGACCTGTAAGGGTGACAATACATTAAAAGTTGTTATGGATCAGGATGATAAAATGTGAATACCTATTTCACAAAGTAAGGCATTGAAAATTTGACATACCTGTGACAACTATGGAACAAGCTTCATCTCCTCCCATAATGATATCATTGGGAATAAAGTCTGTATCAGCAGCCGTTTTGACTGTTGGATGTTTCATTTGTATGACTTTCAGTACGGGCTTTTCAGACTGCAGAATCACAGGTCTACAAAATCCGCCGCCAATACTGACTGAGTGAAGAGACATGATACAATCAATTCGGCTAAGCATTGGATTAGTTTCTTCCAATACTCGTCAAATTCTGAAAACCGTCCAAGAATCGTTCTGAAAATATTTCTTTGAATGTCACCCATTTTCTCCTCCAAGACTTTCATTCGCTCGAGGCTAGAGGTTAATAATGGATGTTTGTAATTGACAAAATTTTTGAGCTGCTTGGTTTGTCTCACAAACTCATCAGGAAGATCAGTGACTGATGGTGGAATTTGTATGAGCCATTCTCTACTTGTTGTTTTAAGAGAGGATAATTTGGACTTGGAATCATATTTCTTTTTAACTTCTGCAAGGAATGCATCCACCTTCGTATTGATGTTTTGTATTTCAGCTTCCATTTCATCATAATCTTTTCCAAAACCTTGTGAAGTGTTGCGTAAGTGAAAAATCCATGTTGGTCATTGGATTGTTTGGCAAGTAACAATATTGCGCTAAATAGTCGTGTGAAAAACACAACACTTACCAGCATTAGGCTTAATTTCACCCTCAGGGCCATTTCTCGATCAAATTCATTCTCAAATTCTGCCAATGCAGCATCAATTTCATCGACCGCTTCCAAATTCAGAGAGTGTCGTAAAATATTTGATTTAAAGTTGCCAATAGAATCTTGTAATGATCGAATAATTTCCAGACCTTTTCGTAAATTGTCTAGCGTGTCAAGATAAGTTTTGATCTTTCTCTTGGAGGCTCTGTTATCAAAGAATACTTCCTTCTTCACTTTACGAGATTCTCTGTATAGGAATGAGCACATTCGTTCCAAGTCTTTAATGGCACCCAGTTTTTCACGAACACCATCAGGATCAGGGAAGCCGTCTCCCTGTACGTCCTCTATGGCATCATATCTATCATTGATGACAGCCGCATTTCTGGAAGGCCTTGTAAGCCAATTTTCTAACAATCTCTTTCCCATAGCTGTCTTGGTGTGATCAAGGAAGCTCAATAAACTGCCTTCTCGGGTGCCTTTTGTTGAACTAATCTTGATATCAAGGTTCAGGAGTGTTTGACCATCCAAAATGAGATGGTCTTTGTCAACTTTTCCATCATAACTGAAGAATTTGGCCGTATTCGAAAAGAGAACGTCATCTTTGTGAAGCTGTCAAATAGTTAACGATAACGTAATGTTTGATGATTGTACGTTCATTGATTGTGCAATTCAAACAAATGATCGAAGATTGATAATTCAATATATTACCTCACGTTGAAAAATTCAAAAACTTACATATTTCAGGTAATAAATACAAGCACCAAAACTAGCAATCACCAAATCATTATCCCAGAATTTCTCAATAATTGGATCCTTGCAGAGAGACTCCACATTTTGTTCCACAAAATATCTAGTAGCTTCAGCGGTAGGATACAAATTATACTCTTTGGGCATGATATCTGTTGATACTCGTTTCTCAGTGACAACAGTTTTCTGGTTGGAAATAATTTTTTTTGTTGATGGTGAATATTGTTGTCTCTCTACGATAACTTCGGCTGGATTGATGGAATAGATAAGAGTACTGAATTGTGTTCTGTGATTATCGTCCTCTAAGTATCCCAAGTAAAAGGTGTCCATAGAAAGGTCCATAAATGTGACACCATATCTGTGATGCATCACGTCTTCCTTAATGCACAATAAATATTTCGAAGTGCAGTCAGGAAAATAGTCCAGATCTGTAATGGTGGAGAGTGTTGTAATTTCACAAATTTCTCTTTGCATACATTCTTTTGATGTTCCTTTTTCTTTCTTTCTTGCTTTCATTTCATTGGCGGTTTCTCTGTTGTTAAAAGAAATTGAAAATTTTAAACAATAAACGCCGCGTGTCAAAATATGTCACATTGAGCTTCACTTACACTTGTTCGACTCGCACGATCGTATATCCCAAGTTAATGAGCTTGGCTGCATACGTTTTGAAAGATTGTTCTGGTATACCGACCATTCTCATGTTCACACGTTCAGTCATTTTCCAATCGAATTCTTTTTTACCAATATCGGCATCTATTCGAAAAATTCGTTTTTGTTTAGAAATTGTTGCCATGTTCAATCCAGCAATAATTAGAATTAACAAACAATAGGTGCCACTAACCTTCTTCATACAGTTCATAAAACTTTCCCTTCTTAAACAACACAACCTTATCCATATGATTCTTTTTGATTTCCCAATATTGTTTTTCAAAACCAGTCAACTTGGAAAAATCTGTGGATGAAATAAATAATGTGGATTTATCAAAATCTGGGTCTGATGGCAATCTCTTTTGAGCATCCATTCGATTCGTGAGGAAGGTAAATCTCTCATCGTTCTTATCCTTGGACTTTTTATCAACACCCGAATATTTGGAAGTAATGACACCTCCGTTCGTTTCATATTCACCATCATCTTCGTCATCGGAATCGTTGGCTTTTGATTTTTTACTTTTTTTCTTGCCCGATGATGATGATTTCTTGGTTTTCTTCTTTGGACGATCTTCATCGTCTTCATCATCATCATACATTCCGTGATGGTCCTCCTCTTCATTTTCCTCCTCCTCATCTCTATATTCAAAATCTTCGTCATTCTCATCATCACTAGTATCCTTTTTCTTTCGTTTTGGAGCAGCAGCCTTCTTTCGTGATGATGAAGCGCTTCCGACAGCCGATGGTAATGAAGTATTGTTATTACTACTACTTGAAGAGCTTCTTCTTGTTGTTCCGTTCGATGAAGAAGTTGAAGACGTTTTCTTGTTTGCGTAATCGTACAATGATGTCTGCACCATGATGATGAATTTTTTTTGTTTTCTTCCTCAAACAACAGGAACATTGAATTTGTGTGTAAATCGGCCAAGGCGTCCCGCGCGAACACTTCTAACAGCAAACATGGTGACGATCAATTACAACTTGCTGTTTAATGGGATTCTACTAATGTTTGTTAATGGTTCATCACTACTACCATGTCATCACTACTAGGGTTCAGAATAATTCCATATCCACTACTCCATTCATCTAGAAATTGACTTGTCGAATCTCAACTTTTTCTACGAAGATCAAAGATAAAATGCACAGTTATTTTTCATGTTTTTGTTCATTCTGACGGTTGAATTTGAATACAAGTTGGCGCAGCGAACACGTTGATTTAACAATGCGAACGGAAGTTGCTGGTATTCACGCATTAATTACTATTCACATCGTCCAACTCTCGTTGCTGTTCTGAATGGTAAGACATTCTCTCAACAGTCGAAACTGCTTTGCTAATCGAATGTCTATTCTTTATCGTGAACTTTCAGAAATATACTAGTTTCATGATTCACTTACGATGCTTGATATTATAATGCATTCTTTCTGAAGAATAGAATGTCTGTTGATGAACCATCACGTTCTGCGTGTTTTTATTTTTCTTTCAAGGACTGTTCGAGAGATCATTAAAGAGATGTAGAGGTTGAGAAAGTTAGCTGTTGAACTGTGAGAAGAGTGGAAGTGGAACTGATTCGGTCACTGTAAATTCACTTCTCACAATTTTTGAACGAAAACTGTGTCTTTGCAAGTTGAGAAGTTCGACAGTCATAAGTCATCTTGATAATTGAAGCAAAAAATGACTTCACCTTGTGCTGTGGCACTGTTGTTGATTGATTTTGGTTCCCATTCTGCAAATTCCAATAACAATCAAATATTTCATTCTGAAATTAGGGACAAGGAATTGTTATTAAACCAAAAATTTACTCTTCAACAATTAGGCAAGAAGAAATGGTTGAACAATCGAGATTTAGAATATACCAAATTCTTCCCAATTGAATTTATGAATGACAAATCCTTTGTATTGAATCATCTCGTAAAATATGGAAAAGGACTGCAATGGGCGTCCAATGCACTCCGAAGTGATCGGAATTTTGTATTGCAAGTGGTGCAACAACAAGGCTTAGAGATTCAGTTTGCTTCCAAAGAATTGCACAACGACCAGGAAATAGCCTTAGCTGCCATCAAGCAAAACCATCGTGCCATGAAATATGTTTCATCTTCATTGGCCAACGATAAGGAGTTTGTTTTGAAAGCAGTACAACTGAATGGAAAAGCTGTTCAGAAAACTCCTCTCCGAGAAGATAGAGAAATTGTATTAGCTGCAGTCCAGCAAGATGGTGAGGTGATGAGGGATATAGGTGATGACTTGGCGAGCGATTTAGAAATTGTTCTTGCAGCCGTCAAACAAAACAAAAAAGCATTACGTTATGCACATAACATGCTTTTTGAAGATCCAGAAAGTGCATTGACCATCCTCCGAGTCGTGTTTCCAGACCTAGACTCGGTGGATTATTCGAACAAAACAATCATGCTTCCACTTGTGAAAGAATTTGGCTTTATATTGCAATTCGTATCTGATGAACTAAAGAACGATAGAGAGCTAGTGCTGAATGCTGTCACAAGTGATGGTTTGTCCATTGAGTGTGCATCTGATGCTTTGCAGAACGACAGGGATATTGCACTGGCTGCGTTTCGACAAGATGCCTCTGTATTTCAAATTCTGTCAGAAGAATTGATAAATGACAAAGAGATCGCTTTACATGCAGTTAAGGAGAGTGGAAGTTTGTTACCATACGCCTCAGTCACATTACAGGGAGACAAAGAAGTTGTGCTAGCTGCTGTCAGTCAATATGGTTTTGCTCTTGAATTTGCATCGACTGAAATGAAGAATGACAAAGAAGTAGTATTGGCAGCTATACGAGAACAGGGCTATGCTCTTAACTATGCATCAGATGAATTAAAGAATGATAAAGAAGTAGTATTAAATGCAATACGACAAAGAGGAGATGCTCTCGCAATGGCATCCAATGAAATGGAAAGAGATTTGAAAACTGCGTTGGAATCTATCATATTCGATTCTCAAACTCTGTTTGCTGCAACCGAGTTGTTGCAAAAAGACTTCTTGTTGCAAGCTGCCAAACATGGATGTGAAGCAGTATTAAGTTGCGCAACAAAAGAATTGGCAAGGGACAAAGAGTTCGTGTTGGAAGTGGTCAAACACAACGGACTTGCAATTGCACATGCAGACAAAGAATTTCAACGAGACAACGAAATCATTTTGCAAGCCGTGAGAAACAATGGATATGCATTGAAACTTGTAAGCAAGGGATCGAATACTTATGCAGACCTTTGGATGGAAGCAGTGAAATGTAATGGATTTGCTTTCGATTATAGTAATGAGTTGTTTCAAGTACGAATGGAACACTGTTATTTTGGTGCGTATTTGGGAGGATCCTCTTCATGATGATGTTTCATGTAAACTCTGCAATGTTAAATGTCACTTGTAACATGTATTCAAAGAAGCATTTAATTCATGAAAACATTAGGATGAACTGACTCTTCGATCCTTTGGACGTTTTCTGTCGTTATCCCATGACCTCATAATTAGAACTCAATTTCACACCTTCCAATTACACAACATGACATGTCACTCATCATCAACCGTTTTTTAAAAAGAAAAAAATGTCTTCACAACATCCAACCTTTCATAAAATTCAATTCGTTCCTGCTGCAACTGCTTCGAAACATCTCAAACAACTCTCCTCTCTTCAACAACAGAGTTCAAACTCCAACTCCCGACCACAACATTCGAATTTTGAATGTGGTCGATTTTTACCTTCTCGTTTTCAATCACAATTTATACAATTTCAATTGACCGAACACGAATTTACACAATGTATCGTAAGAGCCAACCGAATTGTTCATGAATTTCAACACATGATGAATCGTTTGGATGAAACCAATTCTTCCGAAGGCAACTCCCAAAATGGAAAGTTGTTCAAAATTCTTGCATGGTTGTCGAGTCTTCCTTCATGTGGACTCTCTCTCCTCATTCTATATCATTTATGGCCCAAATTGAAAAAAAGAAAACGTTTAGAAAAGATCCAACAACTCCGTGTGCTCTGTAAACAAAAACTCGAACAATTCATTGAAGAAGAAAATGAAACTTTTTCAGAAAAGGAAATTCGTTTGGAATTGGTCTTTGGACCTGTTCAGTATCCCATTCTGAATGAAGACGACAATGAACTGATGGAACCTCATACAACCTTGTCACAACGTTCTCATTCTATGGATGGAATGACTGAAATGGTTGAAACCATGAGTAACGATGGAGATGCAGCAGATTCCAATTCGTATGAAGATCCTTTCACAACTGTCAATGAAAAGCGTATGGATCATAGTTTAGAAGATCATGATGAGAAATTTTCCATCAAGAATCAACAACATGATGATTACAATGATGGAAGTTATATTTTGAAGAGAAATGCAAAAAGTGAATTAACCAAAAGTCAATTATTGAAAGGATTGATCAAGTCACCTCGTCGACATTATCATTTATCGTCACAAGACACCAAATCGAGTGGTACCACTTCAACAGCACCTGAAAATAGTTCTTCTTGTCTATCCACAGCTCATTCACACATCACAAAACTTCCAACTATTGAAATATTTGAAGAAAATCAAGTGCCACACATTCGATTTATTTCAAACAATCGAAAAAGTGTGTATTTAATGGATTATTATCGAACGGCTCAACGAGATTCTTCAAATTTGAATTCTCCAGCCTTGTTGTTTAAGAGAAACTTTTCCGATGTGGAAGAAATGTCAGGTAGTTTGAATGAGGAGAATAATTTATTTCCATCGGAATTGAAGGGAGTGCAATTTGATTATACGAATTTCCATCCATTGAATCCTTATCGAAAAATTTAAATGGACTTTTTCAATTTTGTCATTCAAAATTAACAAATATTTAACTAAGTGAGACTTTCGAAAATGGTTTAAAACTCCCTAAATTTTGTGATCTAATATTCCACTAATTGATACATGAGAAATTGTACATTGAAAGAGTAAATTACATAGTTCATTGTTTACATTCATTGGAATTTTCCTTGAAATTGCAAAACGTTTGGTTGACCAGGAAAATTTATCCATTTTCAGACAAAAATTGTAATCATCATTCCAACCAACGAAATGATTCCAAAAAAATGTCTCAAGAGAGTTTTCAACAACAACAACAGCAACTTTCTCAACCGAGTGATGATCAAAGAAGGCTTGCTCAACTCATTTCCCATCTTTTTCCATCAAACGCCACTTGTCATTCCGATCCCAACAACTCCCTCTCTCTTCATTCCTGTTCAGGCTCCTCCAATCCATATCCCTATGGATCCATACAACCCTCCACCAATGATCCAAAGAATTGTCTTTCATGTTACGCCATTTCTTCCAATCAAATGATTCAACACACTCTCGAAAGATACGAATCCGAAACACATCGCAACATTCGAAACAGAATTTACGAGTTGGTTCGGAAAAATCCAAAATTATTTGAGAGAAGATTTGGATTGACTAAGGACGAAGAGCGATACTTGTCACACGATCGTTTGGAATTTATCATTCAACAATTGAAACCATTTGAAATGGAACATTTTAAAACAGATCCGAAAAGAATTTTCACAGTTTTGGAGACTTTGAGTATGATTGATTTTGGAAGTTGTGGACGGTGTATGATTCATTTTGGATTATTTGGAGCTTCGATCTTGTTTTTTGGAACTGAAAAGCATCAACCATTCTTGCAAAGAATTGTGAAAGATTTGAGTCGAGATTTCTTTGGAATGTTTTGTATGAGCGAATTGAATCATGCTTCGAACGTTCAAGCCATTGAAACTCGTGCCATTTACGATCATTCGACGAAAACTTTTCAAATTGTGACACCTAGTGATTCTGCCGTCAAAGTTTGGTCGGGAGGTGCTGCCTTATTGGCCACATGGGCCATTGTTTTTGCACAACTCATTGTCAATAATGAAAATAAGGGTGTTCATACCTTCTTGGTTCCCATTCGTTCTGAAAAAGATCATTCTGTTTTACCTGGTATTCGAATTCGAGATTTGGGATCTAAAATTGGACTCAATTCATTGGATAACGGAAGAGTTTGGTTCGATCATGTCACTATCCCTAAAGATTACTTGTTGGATCGTTTTGGAACCATCACCGATGAAGGAACTTACAAAACGTCCATTCCTGACGCTGGATTGAGATTCTTGAGTCATGTTTCGGCATTGTTGATTGGAAGAATCATGACAGCAAGTTCGAGTATTTTAGCTTTGAAATTGGCTTTAGAAATTACTTTGAAACATGCCATTCATCGAAAGCAATTCGGCCCAACACTCGATAAGGAAGTTCCCATTCTATCGTATCTGAGTTATCAACGAAGATTTTATCCATATTTGGCATTTACATATGTCATGCAATTTGCTGTCGAGGATTTGAAAATGAGATATGAAAAACCTTCTAAAGGTGCTGAAAATAAGATGATGCACACTTTGGCAGATTGTTTGAAAGCTAAATGTAGTGAAACAGCATTCAATGGATGTCAGGAATGTCGAAAAGGAGCAGGTGCTCAAGGTTTTTTATCTGTGAACAGAATTGGAGAAATGAGAACCATTGCAGATGCATCCTTGACTTATGAAGGTGATAACACCATTCTCTATCAAACTGCTGCTAGAAATTTAATGAAGAGAGGATCCACAATTCCCAAATTGAAGAAATTAACCAACTTGTGGGACTTGCAACAATTACAGCAAATCTTTGAATTCAGAGATGCAACCATCGAACAGGCATATGTGAAAAAAACGGCACTACTTGCCAAAAAAACAAACAATGCCTTCGAGGCCAGTGTTCGTACTCAGGATCTCGCTCTCAAACTTTGCAATTCCTATGTGGAAAATCATGCCATCAAAGTGTTCATGAAAGAAGCATTGGAATCTCTTTCACAAGAAAACAAGAATCTTGGACAAGTTTTAGAAAGACTGGCACTTTTGCTTGTCTTTACTTGGATTCAACAAGATGGATTCTTCTTGCAGCATGGATTAATTTCTAGTGAGCAGTATGGACAATTGGATGACATGATTAATTCTATTTGTGAAGAGTTGACACCACTCGTGCCAATGTTGATCAAGAGCTTTAACTTCCCAGAGGATATTGTCACCAATGTGCCCATGGGTCCAAAACTTGTGGAAATGATGGCCTATGATAAGATCTATGATTAAATAATTCAGAAAATCCAAGTGACGAATTCGAATTATTTTGAATTAGATATTACGAATTATTTTCGTCATTGATGTATTATTAATAATTATTATTTTCTGTCTGTTCCTACATGACCACACAGCTCTTTTTCTTTTTTGTTCGATTCTCCAAAAATTGTGTAAATCCATCATTGATCACTGCTTTAAAATCTAGAGTAATTTTAGCACTACACTCAATATATCCACATGCTTGAACTTTTGTTGCAAATTTTCTTGCTTCTATATATGAAACAGATTCACCATTATTTGGCAAGGCAATCGAATCACGAGGAGACATTGTGTCACAATCTTCTTCCATAAAAAGCTCTCGTGGAGTTTTTGGCAGAAATTCAGCTTCAAATTTTTCTGCTGACACTGAATGTCTAAAATAATTGGTCCAAGAGTCTTTGGTTGGCATGGAACGAGATCGATTGGTTGAATAACCTCGAGATCGATTGGGTGACGTGTTTGTTGGCTGATCTTGCTGTTTTTCTTTAGATGGTGAAAAATCAATTTCAATCTCATTGGAATCAATTACAATATCGACCGTACTACCATTCGATCCATCCGTTGTTGTTGAATTTAGAGCTAGTGGAGAATTTCGATTATTTACAGGAGAAGGAGGTGAATTGGTGGCCCCTACAATTCCATCTTTGGACTTTCCCAATGCATTCAAAATACTGAGCCCAATATTTCTCTTTTTCACAAATGAGGATGGACTTGATGACGAACCTGTTGGTGATAAATTTCCTCGACTTTCATTCATCATGGAACTCCTCGAGTTTGAAAAGCTACCACCACCACCACCGCTACTGGTGATATCCAATCGGCGAGTGTGTGGTCGTGCGGTCATGGGTCGATCATAATTCGACGAGGAGAAGGAATAATCAGAACCCATACTTCCACTCAATTCATCCAATTCTCTCATTGATAAATTCGAGTCACTCTTAGCTGTCTTAGGAGGTGTCGACGATGCAGATGCCGACACTGGAGAAGAATTTAGTGAAGTTCGATGAATAATTGATTTCCGATTGCCACTAGTACTTTTTTGCTGTGATGGAAAAATTCGTCTCAAATCCGTCTTACATCCCACAACGAGATATGAAACTTCAGGACAATATTTAGTAATCTCAGGAATCCATTTCTTTTTGATACTTCTTAATGTCTCGGGTCGTGACACGTCAAAACACAAGAAAAATAAATCGACATTACTATACGATAACGGTCTCATCTCTGCATAACTATCTAAACTACTCAATTCCCACAAAACTAAATGGAAATCTGTTTGATTACTATTAATACTAGTTGAAAACGATTCAATGATGGTTGGTGTATAGGTTCGTTCAAATGCATTGGAAATGTATCGATTGATTAGTGACGTTTTTCCAGATTGTTCATCTCCTAGTACCACAATTTTATAATGAATCTTGTCAGCTCCAGAGATCGATAATGATTGTGCCGAATTATTCTCCAATATTTGTTGTGCTTCTAAATGAGCTTCCAAATACAAATTGGACAAAGACTCGGTTCGGGTGTGATGATGATGCGTTCTGACTTTTGATGACCCAGTCGATGAAGAGGAAATATTTCTCGAATGTTGATAATGTTGTTGTTGTTGTTGCTGAGAAGATGACTCTAAATTTGATGATGATGACGATGATGGTATGGAATTGACATCTGAAGTGAGAGAAATGACGGATGGGGATTTTCTTCCGATCGTTGTTGTGCCGTGAGGATTGGAATGATGAAAATGATGGGAGGATGTAATGGTTGTTGTTGTGGTTGAGAGGGAATTAGAGGAGGAAGAAGAGAGAGGACTAGTTATGGTTGGAATGGGAGGAGAGGAAGAGGTGGTCGTTGAAGTAGACGGAGGTAATTGCCCGGAGGCAGTAGTGGAAGACATTTTTTTCAGCTAACTGTCATCTGTCGCATAGATCCGTTTTAGTTATTCCATCAATTTTCTAAATCCAAATATTTGGTACAGGAGAGACAACACCTCTTTTGTCTTTTACCAAGTTTTTTGTACACACACATTACACTACTTGAGAAAACAACTTGTGAATACTCTTATCAGGTTTCAACAATGTGGAATAACCTTTCGAATAGGAAGAGGAGGAAGTATTTGACAACACACTGCTTTCGTTTGTGTTGTTGAGGCTTTTTCGAAGAGATGAATTATCATCGTTTTTTGGTTGTGGAGTTTTCATGTAATCTCTTCTCATGACGTTTCTCTTTTCAAATCGTTCTGCCTGTCGTTGCAGAGAATTTGTTTCTCTCAATAACGAAACGTATTGCGAAACCAGAGGACTTGATTTCTTGCTATGAGAATATGCTTTAAACACGCCCAAATGTTTACATTCTTTTCGTGTGGTGGATTTGAGTGTGACATTGTCGCCTTCTCCAATTTCATACCATGCTTTTTTTCGAACTGTTGCCACGTCCTTAATATCGTATGATTTAGGTGAATGATTCTTTTCATGTTTCTGTTTAGCTTCTCGCAACACTTTCAATTCAAAATGTAATTCTTCATCGCGTTCATCATACTCAATGATTTGTGCCAATTCTTCGGTTGTGAGATTCGCTCCTTGTGCGAACGCTTCAACAATTTGTGCTTTCCTATTTGCCTTGACAAGCTCAATGAAATTCATTTCCTCTTCGTGAAACATTTCAAAAAGATTGTAACGCGGTGAATATGTATTCTCTTCAATTTTTGCAAGTACATGATTCAATTCGTCTTGTTGTTTCTTGACAGTTGTTCTCTCCTTAACACCAGAGCACACTGTTAGAACTGCTTTTTGGAATTTTTGTTTGACTGTCAACTTGCAGTTGTCAGAAGAAGTGGTCGGTAGTTTTAGCTCAACTTTGTATTTCCAAACATTGTCCAAACAAGGTTGTCGAATCGAGTCCAAGCCCAAACTCCAAATCTGAAATTGTGTCACGATGGTTCGTTGGAATTCAGCAGTTTCAAATTGCTCAGAGCTATCAGGAAAGTTATAGCCAAAGCTCATAAATACAGATTTAGCCATCACCTCAATATACATTTCATCAAAACCGTAGGAAATATTATGTTTGGATTCAAATTGGCGTGCTGCAATAAATTTTACGACCATTTCTGCATAGTTGTTGGCAATTCTATTTTCGACTTGAATAAATTCTTGTGCCAAGGCTTCAAATCTTCGTTGTGACCATTCTTGCGCCTTCTCTTGATAGTATTTCGATTTCTGAAGGCGAAGAAAAAAGTCGTTGCTATGATGTATCTTTTCCAAACACATGTCCAAATTGGTCATGTAGTATTCAGTACTCTTTGACACCAGGTATTGATGCCCAAATAATTTTACATAAAACCACCAAAATGCATCCAATAGAATATTTTGGTTTTGTTCTGAAAGCAATACTTGATTCACATGAATTTTTGATTGTGACGGTGCATGATCTGACAAGAATGAGGGAAAATAAATATTCAACACTTGCTTGATCACGAATGAAGGATGGAGTGGTTTTTTTCGAGGAAATTTACAAGTGGTTGCAAAGTCTTTTGGAAATTTACATTGCTCAATGGACTGTTGGGATGAATCGAATAACCAGTGAGGTAATAAATCAAGTCTAAAATCGATATCTTCAATTTCAATTTGAATTTCTTTCTTGTCGTCCACTTCTGTCAGAAAGGTATTGGGAGGTTTTTGTGTTTTCGGAATTAAGGTACTTGGCACCGAATTCGATAATGATAAATTAGTACTTGATGAGGATGTTCTAGTAAAGGCTGGACGAGTAATCGGAGAAGGTAGTAATGTATTTCCAGAAGGAATTGGAGACGAAGCATAGGAGCGAGGTGGTGATATGGGAGATACAGGAGATACAGGTGTTGGAGATCGGGAAGAAACCTCTATAATTTTCGGCAACAGATCGGTCGGCACTTCTTTCAAATCTTTAAACGACCGATTCGTAAAGGAGGAAACTCGAGTGAGAGAGTATCGTGATGGAATGGCTGGTTTTTCGGCATTCTTGGAATGACCATTTGTCGATGAAGTATTAGTGGATTCATCGGAATGAGGAACTACAATTTGCAAAATGGGAATCAAACTATCGGAAACTCGTTCATCTTCAAAGAGTCTGGAGTTAATGATGGGTGTAGATCGAGTCGTTTCTAGTTGATGATTTTGATTCGGGCTGTTTGAGCGAGCTACTTGCAGTGATGGCTGTAGATGCATTTTTTTCAACCTAAAAACTTCTTTCCACGCCTTCTTTGCGATTGCTTGATCATTTGAACAATTGAACTCCTTCTAACGACCAATTCGAAATGAAAAGTTCTCCATTCAGTGAGTTTACGCAAACTCCATAAGGATAGCTCAATATCTTACGATCTTCAAAGGATTTCAAGATATTTCCTTCCAAGTCCATTACTACCATTACATAATGCATGGTATCACATATAATAATAGTCTTTGCCACGGGATCATAACAAATTCCTCTTGGAGAGTCAAAAACGCCTTTGGAAAGGACGACTTTCGACTCAAAAGTATGTAATGCCCGCTGAGTAAATAACTGAACTAGGCCATTCAATGTAGAAACAATTAACTCTCCCTTCTCTGTTATGTCAATACCACAAGGTGATGAAATTTTGGAAATTTTTCCAACTTGTTGACCATTGCTTGCTTTCAAAATGATCACACTATCACTTCCGCAACTAGCTACGTAAATGAATTTCTCCGAAAATGATTCAGTGTTTCTGCTAATTGTAATTCCAGAAAGTATGTGACCACCTTGGACGTTTTGAATCCAGATGGGACTACAGTTATTTCCGTTTTGAATCAAGGCTTTCACATCATATTTGTATAAATTACCATCACAATCACAATCAAATATTAAAGCATCATTCTGTTGTCCATCATAATTCTCCTCGACGCATAAACATCGTGGTGGATTGACTGTTCTAAAAGCCGATAATTTTTGTTTTGAGTACAACTCATAAAATTGAATACACTGATCATAATATTCTACAATAATGATACAATTCAAATGGTAGGAAATTTTCACGTCGGGACAACCTGGACGTTCCTTGTTTGCTGATGGAATTTGTCCACAATGTATGAACCGATTTGAAAATCCAACCCGAAGAGGCGCTCTTAATTTATTTACAAGCAACAAGAGCGTGAAACGCGTGTCGGAATAGAGTGTATCAAGATTTGGAATTATAAAATCAACAAGATGAATGGTTACCAGCGACTCGTGTTGAGACATTTTTGGCTGCTACCCTTCCGAGTTCAACCCAACAAAATTTTCGCGAGTGTTGTCGTTTACTGCTGGTTTTTCCTGATAACTTTGGAAAAAAAATGGCAACGAGACTCTCCACCACACCACAACAACCATCACTTCTGGAAGCCTTTCTGTTCATGAATCAGGATGACCCAGCAGCTTCAAACACAAGTGGAGATTTTGGTAATGAATTTGTCATTCATGAAAATAGTTGGCTTATTCCAAAATATTATCATGAAATGTTCAGTGAGAGTTCCGACAGCTCAACCACCTTGAATGAATTATCCAAATGGATCAATTCTAACAATCTTTCAGATGTTCTCATCAAAAATAGAGCCAGTTATTTGATGGCAACTCATTTTCTTGTTACGAAACAAATTTCACAATTTCAACAAGCTTTTACCCTTCTGTACCGATCTGCCGACGTCTATGCTCCCTCCCAGTACAATGTTGCTCAATTTTTCGATGTTGGTATTGGAATGCCTCAAAGTTTAGAAACTGCTTTTGAATGGTATCATTTGGCGGCTCAGCAAGGGCTAGTTTATGCAGAATTTATGTGTGCTCAAATGTATGAATTTGGAGAAGGTGTAGATGACATTGATTACGTACAGGCCTTTGAATGGTATTTGAAAGCTGCAGCGAAAGGACACCCAACCGCGTATCATAATGTGGCCTCCTTTTATTATTACGGAAAAGGGAATGCAGTGCAAGTTAATCATGCATTGGCATTTGAATATTACAAAAAAGCAGCAAAGTCTGGCATTGCTCACTCTCAATCTCAATTGGGATACATGCACTTGAAAGGAGAAGGAACTAGCAAGAGTTCACAAAAAGCATTTAAATGGTATTCAAGAGCAGCAGATCAAAATTTTGCACGCGCTCAGTTGAACCTAGGAAAGATGTATGAATTTGGAGAAGAACAAGTGACACCACAAAATGATGCTATGGCATTGGCATGGTACATGAAAGCTGCAATTCAAGACAATGCAGATGCACAATATGCAGTTGGAAGATTTATGTACGAAGGTAAAGGACTTGTTGAACCGAATTTGAATTTGGCTTTGGAATGGTTTGAAAAAGCTGCAAATCAAGGTCATGAAGAAGCTCAATTGGTACTCATGAGAGCATTGCGAGAGGATGGAAATTAGGAAATTCAAATCATGCGCTTGATTACCATTCGATTACAAACTCAATAGCTAAATGTATGTTATTTATTGTTGATCATCACCTCAAGGAAAGTTCATTTCGGCCAAAATTGGAAATCGGCACAGATCAATGAAACACTCGTTCAATCCATCAGTCACGCAAGACTCAATATGATTATCTTTTCAAAAAAACATGCACAAACTCTCTCTGCTCCTCGTACTGAGCTGGCTATTTCTCTTCCAATTACTGTTGCATGTGAACGTGGTGGCAGCAACAACGTTTTACATGTCTCCAAATGGACGTGACAGAAACAATGGCCTCTCAACCACAAGACCATTCCAATCATTCTCGAAGGCATTTTCTACAATGTCCAGAGGTGATTCATTGATCTTGCTCGATGGTGTTTATTCTGAAAATGCTGGAACTGGTGTCATTGTTAATCCACTCAACGGAGGTTCAAGCTTGTCAGCACAGCCACTGTCAGGTGTCAATCTCACCATACCAACCATGATTCGAGCTCTCAATCCAGGACAAGTTCGAATCCAAGGTGGTTTACAAATTGGTACCTCCACACGAAAAGATACTTTTATTACAATTCAGGGAATCACCTTTGAAGGCGACTCGGTGATTGAAAATTGTGATTTTTGCACCGTTCAACAATGTGGATTTTACGGATCGTTGTGGATTGGAACCAATAATCACCAAATGGACAATCAGTACAATCTCATTGAAGATTGTTGGGTATGGGGTTCTCAACGACGAATTTTTGCAGGACTATTCCAATCGAATTACAATGTCTGGAGACGAGTTGTGATTCGAGGAGATGGTTGTGGAGTTCCTGCATGTGCGACCGCTCCCAATGTTGGATTCGCTGTTTATCAAGCTCATGACAATATCATTGAGAATGTTCTTGTGATGGATCGAATTTTGGCTCCAACAGATTCTTCATTTGCCGATTTTGCTGCGGCTTCTCAATCTCAAGATTCGAATTTTTTCAGTGGACGAAACAAATGGTTGGGCTGTATGTCCATTCATTCCCCTGATAGTGGATTTTATTTTGAACCAGATAGAACTCTCGATCCAACCTTTGTATTGCGTCATTGTGTGTCTGTGAATTCGAATGGAACTGGTTTTAACATGGCACGAAATGGTTCCAATCTTGTTTTGGAGAATTTAATGGCCATTCGCTCACAATGGGACGGAGTGAGAGTTGGACCTGAAGACGCTCTCTTGAGTGGTACCGTGCGAAATATTGTTTCATTTCAATCAGGACGTTATGGATTCAATTCAAAATTTGAGCCTTCCTATGTGAATGTGTTTGGTTCTGGTATTTCGAATTTTCAACAAACCAGTGGAACTCTTGGAGTTTCGACCACAGATCCAACTGCAGCAGGAGCTTTAAAGTATCCAGTTCGTATCGAAACAAATTCATTCCTTGATGGAGCTGGTTTCTCTGGTGAGAATATTGGAGCAGATATTTTACAAAAGTATGGGGATGACGGTTCTCGATTTGGAGATCTTTTTGTTGAACGACAAACAGTGTCCTTGTGGCCATGGCCATATGAAGATCGAATCAAAAAGGAAATGTGTAGTAATGGAACAACACGAGGTTTTTGTTCATTGGGAAGGCAATTGGATGGTGTCAGCTCTGTCACTTTGACTTCCTATATTTGGGAATTATTGGGAAATGCCATTCCTAATACCATATATCCATCATGCTTTGGTTTGACAGCTCCAAATCCAGGTGTGTGTTCGTCTCACGGCTTATGTGTGGCTCAGGACAATTGTGTTTGCAATACGTATTACTATGGACCACAATGTCAGTTTTCAAATTGTGCCAATCATGGAAACTTTTCTAACGTGACCATGACCTGCAATTGTTTTAGTGGATACACTGGCATGAATTGTGAAATTCCAATTTGTAACAACATTCCAGCCAATGACACTTCCAATGTTTGTTCTCGACATGGAACCTGTGTGGACATGAATGCTTGTATGTGCGAATCGGGTTACCAAGGTTCTGATTGTCAAATTCCATTGTGTTACGATATTTTGGCCTCCAATCCAACCGTATGTTCTGGACATGGAGCATGTATTGATTACAACCAATGTGTATGTGTCATGCCACCAAATGCCTACACGGGAGTTGAATGTGAAATTCCCATTTGTTACAATATATCTGCTACAGATCCAAGAGTTTGTTCTTCCCATGGAGCGTGTATTACTCCCGATCAATGCAGTTGTGCATCGCAATTTTTTGGATCTCAATGTGAACAAACCATGTGTTACGGAGTTTCATCTACGAATACCACCAAAGCATGTTCTGGAAATGGACAATGTGTCTCATTCAACAATTGTCAATGTCGAGAGGGGTTTACTGGCTTGCAATGCGAAACTCAAACTTGTTTCTCAAAGGCAGCGAATGATAGTTCAGTATGTCATTCACACGGTCGATGCGTTGGTCCCGATCAATGTCAATGTGATATCAATTGGATTGGATTTGATTGTTCTGTTTTTGCATGCATTCCAGTCATAGATGGTACGACTTTGAATCAAACGTTGCAATGTAAGAATGAAAATGATACAGGAAATATTAAGCAAGAGCTACAAGTACAAACACTCTCAAATATTACTCAATTAGATTCAAAGAATGTCACATTTTCAACGTTTCAAAACATTCTCGTTTCATTTCCTTCGAATATTTCCTCTCAAATTGGAAACAACCAAGTAACAACCATTTCTTAATAATTGCCATTTCACAAAACATTTCTCAACCTATGCATTCTGAAGTGATATCTCCAATTGTGCAGATTGTACTTTCGAAAGGAAATGGTACGTCACTGAGAGTTCATGATCTGACAAACTACATTGAAATTTCTTTTTCGAACATTACGATCAAAGACGACACTGTGGATTATGAATGTGTGTACTTTGATGAAATTTCACACGACTGGAGCTCGGATGGGATGTCATCCCAATACGATTCGAGAACATTGACCATGAAATGTCTCACATCTCACTTGACATCTTTTGCAGTTATTGATTTGAATTTCAAAAAAGCTGTCAATAATCAACCAAAACCCAACACACCACCTTCATTCTCAATCAAGAAAGATGCAAATGGTAATGTGGATGCCACTGCTGCCATTGCTGCAACAGTCTCTATTTTGGGTTCAGTACTTGTGTGTGGAATCATCATTTCAATTTCAATTGCCATTGTTGCTGTAGCCATGCGATCACGAAAGAGCCATGTTTGACCATGAATAAATTGAATGATTTGTATTAAAATTCATTCTTGAACCATTGTTGCCGTCTCTTCGTTAAGATTTTCTAAAACATTGTTCTCTGCTGGGGCAGAGGTTATTTCGACATTTTCATGAAAGACGCCGACAATGGTTTCTCCATGCTTCATGGTAATGAAATAATCACTGGGGAGTTTTCTCTCGATCAATCCCTTTTCCAATAATTGTTTGGGCTCCATGACTGGCTCAAGTGTTAATATAAAAGTTCCCCAGTGCATTCCTATTTTCAAGGTGAATTTTGTGACAATAGAGATCAATAGAATGTTATGCATGGAACTGTGGAAAACCATCCTAAAACTTACCAATGCTTTTCTTTGCACCAACTTCTTGAGCAATGGTTATCGCTTCTTCAGGATCCACATGTTGGTCCTTCAAAAACTGCCTTGGATGATATGCTCCGATTGGAATAAACGCTAAATCAATGGGTCCAAAGCGTTTTCCAATTTCTGTAAATGTCTGTGAATTGTAACCCGTGTCACCAGCATGCCAAAATTTCACACTTTTACCACTGTCAATCGTCTGTTCATCTCTGTGTATCACAGATTTAAATTCAATTCCCCACGAGCCCCATAGAGCCTCGTTTCGATCTGCAAAACTTCTAGATCCCCAATGTTGAGCTGGTAAAAATTCAAATCGAATTTCACTTTCAACACTTATCAAAGAGTTATTTGCATGTTTTGCAGAAACCTTAAAAGTCACATCTTTCCACCAATCCAATTCATATAATTTTGAATTCATCTTTTCTTGATTCAAATACCCACTTTGCATCCATTTATATTTACACTTGTAAGGCAACAAAATGATTGGATCATGATACTTTTGAAGGTCACGTATGGATGCTTCACATAAATGATCGTAATGATTATGTGACACACAAACGAAATGAATTGGAGGTAACTTGGCAATATCATCGACTGGAATTTTCTTAATTCTTTTAGGTCCAAAAAACGAAACGGGACTACATCTCTCAGCAAATACTGGATCTGTCAAGATGTTAATCCCACGGTATTGGATTAAAAATGTGGAATGACCAATCCATGTCACTTGATAAGTTGTTGAGCTCTTGTCAAACTCATGTTGAGTACTGATCGGTTGAGTGTCAGCATTCACGACTGTATGGAATGGATGAGGTTGAAATAATAAATCCCATTGAGGTTGTAACTGAGGTAATTCTTCATCTGAAGGAACACTAGGTCGATTTGGTAATTGTTTCAATATCGAGAAATAATCGCTCATGGATTTTTCGTGTGTGATGCCAATCCATGGATCGAAAAACTTTTCGGGTTCAATTTTATATTCTACATGAGAGGATGGTTCTGTCGTGTCATGATTATTGTTGTTGTCAGAATGATTGAGTTTTTGAATAAATTCTGAAAGTGATTTCTTCTTACGATCGGAAACGACCCAATGAGAAGGAATCAATGAATTCACAAGAGTAGTAGTACCACTACTATTGGAAGAAGCGCTCGTTGAAGCCGAGGATGGTATTAGGAGAAGATCATTGGTAGAACCTCCACGGACATGTTCAATAGTGACCTCGGAAAAGAGGTATTGTGACTTGTTTGTGGATGCTACTCTGTCTGACATTTTGGTGATAATTGATTGTTTTTTTGTTGTCGTGTTGCTGGAATCGAACAGTTTTCAAATGCGCTGTAAATTGTGCGCTCGCATTTCAGGACAGCGAGGAGTGTTTTTAAATGCACGTTCTGAAAGTTCTGAAGTTTGTTTGAAACGTGTTGGAAGGAGGAAATGGATGATTCACATGATTGCACATTCATATATATCAAATTTGTTAGTCATGCATATATTGGAGTGCTTTACAACATTTGTTTTTTACAACATTCTTAATCCACATAGTAAGCATGATGTATTTAGAGCAATTCATTCACTTTCTGAATGAAAAGAGTGCCTCGTTCTTCAGTGTATGCTTCCTCTCTGGTCTTGTACAATAAGGTTCCATCTTTGGCAAACACACAAATACAAATCTTGTCATCACTCTCAATGCCGAGAGCTTGTCTGAATTTCACCTGATCCGTATGAATCAAATAGGTACGTTGTCGAATGAGATCATCTACAGTTCCGTAACGAACAGCCTCAAATATTCCTCTACCAATTTATTCATTCCAAAAGAATATATTTGTAAAAAGCATCCATCATTCATGAATATTGAAATTCAAATAGGTTCAGTTGGGAACGTTAACACATTGAGATGATAAGCCTACCTTGCCAAGAGCCAATACATTTCCGGCTTTTCATCATCATGAATAATTTTGATCCCGATGATGATGAACAAGATGAATGAACAAACAACAACAACAACCTACCAGCAATGGAAATACATTAAAATCCACATCCTTCTCCTTCCATTCTCCTCCTTCTCGTTTCATATCTGCAAAAACAGCTTGCCAAGTCTTGGTATGTTCCTTTTGCTCTTTTGAAAATCCAAACACTGCAATATTAATCTTCTTGGAAAAGCTCGATGGGAATGAATGTTCTTCTCTCGATTCAATTTGCATACCCGAGATGGTAGGAAGTGTGGGTTGTTGGGACATTTTTTATTGTTGTTACTCGAGGCTTTTTGCCGAATGCAATCGTGGAATTTCCATAAATGAACAATTAAGAATATTTGAGAAGTAACGGGAGTTTCTTGAATGTATAGAAGATACATCTCTTGATACAGGTACTGAAGAAGAAGAGGAAAGTAGTATTCACTAGATTCTTAACATTGTCACATTTTTGAATCTTACGGAATCACACAAGTGACAAATGGCATGTGTTTAAAAAATTCCTTTTTTGTTATCAAGGACAAGTCTTGTTTTGGATAAACAATCAAAACCAATGGGCCTTGGCAGAGACACCACAAACTACGCCTGAGCGTAAAGTGCAAAAACTGACGAAGAAAAAATTCGGCTCGTTTTAGTAAGTCCCGGAGTCAAAAAAAATGGAGTGATTGGTCTGTGGTGTTGTTTTCTGCTTCTCACACAAAAAAACACACCAACAACACACAACAACATGGAAGCTGAATTAGTGGTCATTGAAGAGGGTACTGTGCCTCTATACTGTGTAAGTAATTGATTATCCATATTACCACAACAACAACAACATCAAACAACAATTTCAACACCGACACTAATCTTTACCTCAGCTTGGTGTTTCTGATTGTGATTCGAGTTGCGAAACAAATAGTAATCACGTAAGTACTAGTGAATATCGTTCACCTTGTATTGATCTCAATTATATCAAGGCCTATGAATCACCAGCATTGGATAGCCAATCCACAACGAACCAGAGTACGAACAATGTAAGTATTATGTTTGTCCATTATTCAGTAGTAACACATTTCAAGATTCCTTCATCATCAAGCATCGAGATGAACACTTCTCAGCCATCATCACCAGTAATAACTACTACCTCTACAGTATGTTTCAAATTTGTTGCAATGTGTTTGCTTAACTTGTTCAGGAATGGATCTTCACAGACGAAACTATGTCATTTCCACCTTGCTGTCTATTGCCTAGCACAAGCAGCTTCTCTGGTATTGTTGATGAGACACAATGTACGATAACACCAAACAACAAATGTGATGATGACAATATTTCCCAACAGAGCAAAAAACGAAAATCAAGAACCACAGATGAAGCTGCTGAAGACACTCACAAGGAATATCAATTCACTTTAGAGAAAGGACTGTTTGAATTTGTACCAAAATATAATTCCTTTAAAGAAGTACCAGATGAGAAGAAACAAATTTATGGAATTATATGGGAACAGTTCGCCAAATGTGCAAGAAATATTATTTATCAACATCTACAGATGAGATGTTCAAACTCCATCAGCCATGAAACGGTTGGATGTTGCAACCCAAACGTGTTTTATCTTGCTCTGAGGGGAACAAAGGCTAAATATTACCAATGGTATCAAGACATTTTGTGGAATGGCCTAAAGAAGAGACAGAAGTGCATTCAATTCAGATTTACTGACAGTGTTCCTCCTTTAGACAAATGCAAGCATTGGTCTGAGTTGGAAATTACTCACTCACGTCTTACACGTAAATTCGGAAAGAAGATTACGAAACACAAGATGAAAATTGTATACATTTCTCTCACATGTAATGTGGAAACTAATCAAGTGTGGACATCGTTCAAGTTTGACAAAGAATTCGAGTTTGTACAATAAAACAATTGAATTCAATCCTCAATACTCTAAATCACAAAAAATGTCATCAAATTGGAACTTTTCATCACCATCCACAAACCAAACCACATCTAACAACAACTTTTTTGAAGGTCAATCATATGGACTTTCAAATCAAAATCACCACATATGGTGTTCCTCTCCATTATCTTCTTTCAATGTGCAATCATCGTCATCTACTGGTTTCAGTAGCATTAATCCGGGATCTTTTCAATTTGATTCACCAAGAACATCCACACTATCTTTCGAAAGAATTTATGAAGATCTAATACAACCAAACCAATCCAATTCAATGAGCTATCAGAATATCCCTATTCAATATGGAGGATGTGAACATTTATTTCAAAATCATCAATCCTATTATCCACAATTCAATCAGCAATACATCACACAATCTTCTCATAATTTCTCCACAACCCAACATAACCTTGACAATCCGAACACATTATCATCTCAACCTTCACAACATGAAACCAATCAATCAAACCAACATTCAAACACACAACAAAATACAACAATTACTTTTGTCGATGGCTTCACTCGCATAAAACAAAAGCGAGGAAGACCACCGAGCACAGAAAACAAATTGAAAAATATTATTGATAATGCTGATCTCAATTTCTCTCAGTATAAGCTCCAAGGAGATGCTGTTATTAAATTAAAGAACAAGAGTTTTGCGATATGTAACTCATTACATTTTAATATTGCAAATCCATCTATTGACAAGATGCAGAAAGAATTTCATCAATTCGAAAAAGAGACGAAATCTAATGGGAAGTTGTTGTTGACATGTAAAAAAGGCAGTGAAAAAACAACCAAAAGTATGATTGAACAAGACAAATCTCAATATACAAAAAGCAAGCTCGGATCATTACTTTGCGGAATCGAACTTTTGCTGTATAATAATGGAATTTCAAATTTCTCTGAATTTTTCGATCTATTGATTGACATGTTTCCCGATATTGTTTATCGAACATTAAGCAAACGAAAGGATTATGATGACATTGACACGAAAGTTCGAAAATTAGTCACAAACAAAAAAATACCAGAATATGACTCATATATCGAAATGTATCTAAACAAACAAGAAAAAACAAACCCTATTGCCATTAATGATTACCCAAATGATCTCGATGATCCTGTTTCATCTGAAATTAGTTCTGAAATCGATGAAAATTTTGATGAATATGAAGAACATCAATCAAGTGAAGCAATTAATGAAACAACATCAACAATCTCACAAGAAGAACCTGTAAGCAGTAGTGTAGCTCTACAAACAAGCTCAAATGACGATGATGAAATGGATTGGGAGGACGATGATTATTCGCAAAGTGATGCTTCTTCATCGAGTGAAGAGACAAATCAAAGAAAAAAAGTGACAAAACGAAAGTTGCGAGTAGTACGGAAAAAGTTACTTGATATCCAAGCGAAAGACAAAGCCAAAATCAGTAACACTCAATATAAGGAACTGGTGTCATCTTCAAGCTCCAAAACCACTCCTCTCTCAAGTATGTCATCAGTTCAATCTGTAGTTAGTATTAAGGCCTTAATTGAATTTAAAGGGACACATGAGAAGAATGAAAATATTTTTTTCATCAGCCTTTATTCTTTAGTTAAATATATGATTGAATTATATGTACAATGGGTAAAACAAATATCAACAGACAAGGAATTAGCTGCTCATCTCAACGAAGAGGATAAAAATTGGAAAACAAAAATTAAGTGGTTCAAACTCAATCTCGATGGATCTAAAGGCCGTGTTACATTCGCATGCGCTCCATTAAATATGAAAAATTTTGGGAGTCCTCAATCAAGAGAAGCAGTCCATCCTGTGGCTGTTTGGAAGGGAAAAGAAAATCAACTTCGAGCAATAACTGGAATTATTCGAGTAATGATTGAATCGATGACATGTCATGGGGTGGATGTTGATGGAGTAAATCACAAGGTGGATTTTTGTGTCACAACAGATCTTCTTTCGTTAAAGCGTATCTCTAATCTTAAATTTTCACAAATGTGTCCATATTGCAATACATTGAATACTTTTTGTGACCATTTTCACCTCGCTAGAAGCAAAGAACAGTTGGGTTGTCTGCTCGGAGTTAGTCCATTCAAAATTGTCATCTGTTTGCTCCATATGAAAGAACGAATAATGGAAAGAATATTAATTGATGCAATAATGACGAGCAACAAACGAGAAACTATTGTCAGGATCATTCGCAAGATTCCAAATCTCAATAATTTCAAAATAACTGAGAAAGGACAAAAGTTGAAGTGTTACTTAACCGGAAAACAAGTTAATTCCATTTTAAGCAATTTGAGAAGATTACGTAAGGTAATCGTTCCTCAATATATCACATTAATGAGCAAATTTAGAAATGTGTTGAAATTACTTCAAAATGAATCCTTTTCTGAATCCGAACTTAATAACCTTCAACTCAAGCTAAATGAGATGGAAGAAGTGGTTCAATCTCTTTATACTGATAGTGGTTCTCAAAGTTGGTATATGCATATTCTATTCCATCATGTAATTCCTTTAATCAAAGTATACGGAAATTTGGTTCACTTTGAAACACAGGGATTCGAAGGAGCACACATTGATGATGAAAGGCGTATGAAAAACACATCCAACAATGGAGGAAAGTATAATTATTTGGACAGAATGTTTCCGACATGTAAAGATCAAAGTTTGATCCAGTTCATGCTTCCGAAAATTAGGAGACTCATGGTATGTAGAGATTTGAAAATTCCCTTTCAAAACAGGCAACGAAACAATGAGAAGTACAAGCAATTTCTTGCAATACCCTACCCGATCTTCTCATTCCAAGAGGAAAATGTTGCCTTGTTGTCTTTTGTACCAGGGAAATCTCTCTCCGAAGTGTGTACCCGATGCGAAGATCACGAAGAACATGAAATAACCTCCAAATATGATCCAATTTCAAACGTTCAATATGGCAAGGACAATGCAAATGACAACGACGATGAAAGCGATGCCATGAACATGTTTTCCCAAAGTTGTGATGTGTAATAAATTTTTTGTTAAAAATTAAATTAAATTTTTTACTTTTTGTTGTAATTTAATTTTTCAAGTTGACATCGATTTTCACTCGAAAAAAAATGCCTTCACCTAAAGATGAGGTCGAGTATTTTAAATCACACACCTAAACTAAGATGACACAGCAACTTTGATGTAACTTAGACACCAAGTGATCAGTACAACAAAAGATGGATTTTTATCGTGTAACGAGAAACTTGTTGAACGGAGTAATTACTGTGAATGTGAGTATTATCACCAACAATCAACTAATCCTTGTATAGGACAGTTCTTCTGTGGGAAGAGAACGAGAGATGAGCGCTGAAGAGAATTGCTTTCGAAACTTTAGTAACTGGCTTTGTACAATAGGTGTGGTCTTAATCAGGAGGACACTTTTAATGAACGAACGTCAGCACTGAATAAAACTTTACAAGATTCTGAACCAATCCCGGAGTTTCTGCATTTCGTTGTCAAAAAATTTTTGCCTTTTTGAGTCGAATTTTTTCGCTGGCAGTTTTCTTATGGCGTAGTTTGTGGTGAGAGAACACCTTCAAACACCTTCTTTGCATCTAAAAAAACAACTCAAATACGCGTGCAATAGATTTTCTCTCATAACTGTCAAACTTCACAATGTCCACCACTTCCTCTCAACCTCCATCCGCTTCATCCCCCATTTCTCTCGAAAGACGTCAAGTTCTTCATAAACTCCTCAAAGACCAACACTTGGAAACTCTGAGCGAAGAAATACAACGAGATAAAAATTCAAACACTTCCAACATTCCCTTCAACGTCGATTCGTGGTATGCGCTGGACAATGAAAATGGTAAAACCTTGTTGATGACCGCTGTTCAAGAAGGAAATATTCAAATGATTCGAATGTTGCATAAACAATTTGGTGCGGATTTGAATTATGTGGACAAGTGTCAACAATCGAGTGTGTTTTATTGTGTCGAGTTGAAACATTATCATAAATCCGAGACGGTAAGTGTAATGACAAGATGACAATATTAATATGCAATGTTATTTCAATGATGAATATTTGAATGAATAATAATATTGGTGAATGATTAATGCCCTTGCTGACATTTCATGATGTCATTTTGACTTGCTCATAAAATACCAAATTTGGCCAACAACAGATTTTGGAATATTTAATTGCCAACCAAGCAAAATGCAACGTACTCAACCATGAAGGATACTCACCATTCTATGTAGCTCTCCGAAACAACAACCTTCCTGCTGCTAATTTACTTTACACAGAAGCAAATGCCAATGTCAATGAAGCCATCGATCAAGAAGGTAACACAGCACTTCACGAAGCTGTCAAGAGTGGAAATATTGCCACTGTGAACTTTTTAGTGACACAATGCGGAGCTGATTTAATCAAACCAAATCACAAGGGAGAAGTTCCATTCTTTATTGCCTTACAATTTCCAAGAATGATTAATCAAATCTTAAAATCCATGAATGGATTGAACACTAAGGATCCTAAAAAGATGGTCCTCGTTGGAACGAGTGGAATCAATCGAAGGGCTAGTTTTGATGTTGTGGAATACATGAATCATGTAGTAAGATATTGCAATGAGGTCAAACAAAATGCTCTTCACAAATGTGCTTCATTGGGATATATTCATTCATTGGGTGAATTGTTGACACATTTATCAGAACAAAGTGTGAGTGAAATGAGCTCTGAACAAGATGTGAATGGTAATACTCCATTGCACTTGAGTGTGATCAATAACCATCCTGAAATATGCTTCTCACTCAATCAGTTAAAACCAACAGATGCCATCATTCAGAACAATGATGGTGACACTCCCATGCATATTGCTTTAAAGAGCTCTGCCTACAAGTGTGCTCGTGTCTTGTACAACAACTCGAAAACATTCTTGAAGGAAAACAATGCTGGAGAGACGATTCAGCTTTTATTGCAACAATTTAAACATGAACTGAAACAAGAAGATGACATTTCCAAGATGTTGCTTCAAATCGATTTGACACAACCACAAAATTACAGATTTCACAAATTGATTACAGATCATACCTTCCTCTCAAAGATGAAAGATTATCTCAGTGTCAATAGCAATCAAGACATGATTATATTTTACGAGACTGTTCAAGAATTCAAAATGATCAATTCCAATTCCGAACGTTTTCAAATGGCTGAACAAATTGTGGATCACTTTCTCAATGACGACTCGGCACATAAATTGAAATTTGGAAAATTAGCATTTGGACCTTTCCGTGTGAAATTCAAGGAATGCTCTGCCGAACACTGCCCTAAAGATATTTTCCTTAATTTGGAGACTTTGGCATTGACCAATTTAAAAACAGAGGTCTTTCCAAAATTTATTCATTCCAAACTCTTTATCAAGTATATTGAGAGAAAGAAGCAAACGGATCCAACTTTTTTAGTTCGTTTTGTTCAATCAGAGTTAACAAGTGACAAGTCGAGTGATGACATTGCTTCGCAAGACCAAGTTTCCAACTCGAGACCACATGCCCTCTCTAATAACAATACTGGTTCCTCTTCCAATGATCACAACACTCAAGACAGTGATGAAGTGATCGACGCTGAAGATTACGACGTTAAGGAAAATATCAGATTTTGTCCTAAATGTGGAACTGAATTACTTGATCTCGACAATTATGTGTTCACAGATAAGGAATTCCAAAAAGCCATTGAAAATTTGCAAGATATGAATCAATGGAGATTATTACATGAAGCTGGATCTGGAAGAACGTATGCAAGCCCAGAACTTGTTCACAACCATTTAAGTAATACGCGTCGTCACACTCAAGTGAAATATGTTGGAGAAATGGATTGTAGTAGTCATTCCATGTTTAACATGTGGGTCGATCCAGATTACATTCAAAGCAGAGAAGTTCACTTGGATTCGTGTAAACAGTTGGATTTTATTCGAAATGGAAAATACGCAGCCGTCATTCAATTAGAACTTCTCAAAATGAAATTTCCACATCAAAACAGAGAATTCATTCATGCCTTTTGTTGTCGATTTGATGACGACGAACAGAGATATATGTGTATCAGTCGATCGGTGAATCATCCAAAAGCTCCCATGACGAACAAGTACGTTCGAGGTGAAGTGAAAACTGCATTTTTGGTTGAGAGAATTTCCGATGTGAAATGTCGATATTATTATGCTGTGACTGCAGATTTTGGAGGATGGTTGGCTGCAGATTATTATTACAAGATGGTTCGAAAAGATACTCAATATGTTCATCAGAATTTGGAAAAGTTAGTGAAACAGAGAGAACAATTGGGAAAGAAGAGACCTGAGAAGGGAGGATTGATACAATCTCTTGATTATTACTTGTCCAAGAAGGATTAATTGAGACTAAACCATAAAATTCAAGATTATGTTCCATTGTCTCTGTCAATAAATATTTTTGCAGGGAATCAAATTTTTCCCGCCAACTCTAAATACCGTTTACGAACATCAAACTTTAAAAAAAATATACGATTGATTGAACATTAGTAGGGAACGTTGATCATCCACCATCATTAACATCGGAACATCAAACAATTTAAAAAATCATCGGAGTGGAACAAATGTCTGGAAAGAAAGATCTACAATCGGAATTATCACCTAATGATTATAAAGTGTTTCAAGGTCTCCAAAAAAAGTGGCGATGTAAATTATGTGAGCAAGAATTTTACGTGGAATCGTTACCCGGAGCTATATCATATAATTCTGTATTGAAATTACGACAAAGGTAAGTCCGTAAAGGTTACTTCTAAAAGGCAACTGATTGCATGGGCACAGCTGGGGAATGAAAAGCAAACCTGTTTCTCCTGCATTGTTGTATCAAAAAGTGCATGTTTGCGTGTTTTGTTTACAATTCTTTGAATATCAATTAGAGAAGGAAGAGAAAACGCTAAAGAAAGCTCCAAAACAAGCGAGCAGCACAAAAAAATAGAACTATTTCATGTAAATACTCCATCAAATTAAACTAAGACATTCAGAAACCTACTTATCTATTGATACAAATTGTTGTTTATTCAGAACAACCTGAATTCGAAAAAGAGGTACAAGATTCTCTTTCACAATTTGCATCTAAAACTTCTTCCTTTGATTATCCAACCAAACACTCCATTGGGATGGCAGTGAGGAGTATGGGCTTACTCTATGACATTGTTACTGTTTTTCATAAGATCGCATGAGTGAACTGACAGGTGTCAAATTGTTGGAGACTCTGTTAATAATTGTTTCTGATCATTGTTGGTCTCGTCATTGTGATTAATCTCTGACACAGGAGCATATGATGATCCTTTCTTTCTGCATTTTCCAAAACAAGCATACACTTCAAAGAATTCACTCTTTTCAAATTCCATGTATGAAATGCCAACCATCAAAACGATAAGTAAGGCGTGAACTACCAAATATAAAGCTCCAGTGACTGGATCTTGAGAGGCAAAATCAAATAAAATCATACAAATGTGAATACATCCCATGATGGTAATGATGGCAGATGAGAAGAAGACAAATCGAAGAAACTGTTCATTAAGTATTAATTAATAATGAAAAATTACAAGAAGTTATAACATTGAGTTCAAGGATTCAATGACGTACCCATGTTTGAAATAGATCAATATCGGAAACTTTTCTCATAACAAAATAAATATAACAAGAGAGTCCAATATATGCTATAGAGTGAAATTTGCCACAAGAGTAATTGTTGAAACATACAATTAAAAATGTAAATTATTAAAACAATAATATTTTGTAATAACTTACTGAGAATGGCCACTACAATGGAGAGCAAGAGTACAAAATTCATGGCGACTACAAATTCGGTTGGAATTTGCATTTTGATGAGAATTGAGAGAATGGGTAGTGCTAAAACTAACATCAATAATACCAGAAAAACAATCGCCAAGCAAATTCCACTGCACCAAGTACTCTTATACTTTTTAGATTTTGCAAATCTCACCAAATGAAACCAAAACTTGATCCATGTAATTAAACTAAAATATCCAATATATAGAGAGGAATATTCCAACGCAATAAACAAGTTTGAATCTCCAATAATTAAGGTTATATAGGAAGCAATCGATGATGCTTCACACAAGACCACCAATGCCATGGTTGCCATATTTCTCCATTTTCTCAGTCGAAAAGAATAAATAAATTTTGGAATAAATGAAATGAAAAAAATGGCACAAAAGGTAATTCCATGAAGACAGAGTCCTAAATAACTCAAAAAATCATAAAAATCTTTTCGTTTTGCAGTATACCAACAAGAGTGTCCAAAAAAGTCACTTTCTGTGCAATAACAAGTAATGTAAAAAACTGGGCTATAAATGTCATGAGAAGTGTTTGCGTTGACAAGAACAGGAATTCCAAGTTCTTCTGCTCCACAGGTCAACAGCGAAGTTGGAAAAAGTTTTGGCAAGCTATAAAATCGTGTATCATTGAATTTACATGTTTTCAAATCGAATATGTAATCTTTCGAGCAATATTGACAATAATTAAACCAATCGAAAATTGTGGTCTCTCCATTCGAAATTTGTAACGCTAGTTCAACAATATTATCAGAACGGCACAACAAGTCATAGCATCTCAACCTCGAAAGCTTTTCCCATTCGCTTACTTTCGCGCAAACATCTCGATTTTTACCACTTGTCAAATATCTCTTATAGAAAAAGTCACTTCGGGAATTCCAACTCCATTCGTTAGACCTTTCTATTTTTTCTGGCATTATCAATTCACGGCATGCAAAATTGTTGGGAATGGAAGTGTCACAATTTAAGCAAGGAAAAAAGCTAGTCATGACAGAATAATTGGCACACTTGTGAAATCTTCCAAAATCTAGTAAAATCACATCAGTGTTTGAACTATTGTTATTGTCTTGTTGAGCTGAAAAAGGTGTGTATCCAACATTAGTTGTGGCATCCTGATGATTGTGTATTTGTTGATGATCAACATTTTTGGGAAGGAAAAGTATTGAATTTTTCTGATGATGAATCAGAGAGGAATAAATAAAATTTGGAAATACTACTATTGCAAAGAGGAAGAATAATATCAATACGTTGAAAAGCATCCACTGTAGAAAATGATCATCCCGATGGCATAATCTGAACGTAGGAAGAAAAAATCTCGTTTGCTTCATTGATTTTTTTTCAAACTGAATCCAGAACTAGAACGCAACCCAAAGATCGAATTCAAATTGAAAGGAATTTCAAAGAACCAACCAGTAACCCTCGTTCTTAAAAAGAGAGCATTGAGGCGCCCAATGATCACATTTTTTACGGTATGTATTTATTCATGTAAGACAATGTTAACGCCACTATTCATGAACCAGGTGTTTGTATGATTTTGCAATTAAGAAACAGAACAACCGAGAGCAATGCTACCATTCAATTTTCATTGACGAGTTTTTGATGAAAAAATGTCAAATCAAGGAACAGTGAGTAAATCACTCTCGGAAGCAGAAGAAGAGTTATTTGCGGAATGGGCTGAAGAAGAAGAACGTTTAAAAACAACAACACCACCGCCTGAAAAAGCCTCCTCTGCACAACTAGCTTCGGATAAGCTGGACCAAGAAGAGAAGGAACGAAAGGTTGATGATGATGAAGAAGGCTCATCCTCCTCATCATCGGATCTTGAATCAAAAACAACAAATCATTCAAAAAATCATGCGAGATCAAAGAAGAAACGAAAAGTGGAGCATCTAAATGTTGATACAGCAACAGCGATGGACACTTCATCTGCTGATGCTCAGGCTTCTCTTGATTTGCCAATCACTCCGACCTATCCAGGAGTAAATTTACCCTCTGTGGAGCCAGAAATCAAGGAAGAATATGTGAAGAAGGATGAATATGATAAATTAATCAATTCACATACGGAAACAATTAAAAAATTGAAGAATGATTATAAATTAATGGCTGACAGATATAAGAAGGAAATGTAAGTGGTAAAATTTTGTGAAGGAATTATTGTTGGAAGCCTGGCGTAAAATTTTAACTGAATTGAAATGTGTCGTGATGGAAATTTGAATTAACACGAATGTGTGACATGATACATTGTTGTGACAACATAAAGTGAGCGTTTAAAGAGTGAATTAACCACCCTAAAGCAGAAAAAGCCTTAAATTAGAAGCAAGACTCATTACATGTGCTTCTTATAGAACAGTGACACTTTGTTTCATGGTTTTCACAACCATCTAGTTTATTCCTTTGATTTTAACAAGTCTTGCTCTTCCTCTGCTTGTTCATTGGAGGCAAGGAAATTACACAGCAACTCTTCTCCTATAGGTTGATCTTCTGACCATAATAAACTCTCCTCTTCCAATTCAGTATCAATCACTTCATCTGATTCTACATCTTGGAGTAGTAATGAATTGAGATCTTCCTCCTCTTCATCGTCAAGGTTCTCATCTTCTGTCTCTCCCTCCACTGTTTCTCGCTCTAAAACTTGCTGAATGAATGTAATTTGTTTTGCGAGTTCATCCTCTGATTGTTGTTTAATAATCCTGAGACGATCCTCAATACCGCACGAGATTGCCTTTTCTTTCAGTACAGCACTAGAATTCAGTAGACTATACAAAGTGCCATTGACATAAGTTCTTACTTGAGGACTTTCATGTTGTGCCAAATCCATCAACACATCAATGATAGAGTCTGTTTTTTCGCAACGTACGATGGCTCCCTTCCCCAAACATAAATTCATCAGTAAGGCCACTCCATACTCTGTTGAATACTCACTGCACATTTGAGCACCGTCACTAAGAATTCTGCATAATGTTTCAATGACGTCGCTTTCAATCATTTGACTGAGGTGATGCATGCCATACATACGAACAAGGTCATGGAAAAATTGTTCAAAAATACATTGTTCACACCAAATGATTGGCTCAATTGTTTAGCACATATTGTCATGACAAAAATTCACTTACAGCTGAGGTCGAGATTTTACGCTAACTTTTTGTAGGATTGCAATGACGTTTTGTCGAATAATGGTATCTGACTGTTCCACTTCAAGTATTTGAATTAGGTCGCTTACCAATGAGTTTCTGGGAAAATCTTTGGTAAGATATACAAGTCCAATATTTTCCGAAGCAATAATGTTGATCAATCTTAATGCATATTCCACACCATGTCATCTTTGGAAAATAATAGAGCTGCAAGAATTTTCTACAAACATCAAAAAATGATAAAAAAGATTATCATACATTAAAAGATAAAATATAAAGTTCAATATTAGCCCTACCTTGTCATTATTTACAATTCCAAAAATGTCATAATAGATCATTGTTTTCATATTATTAATTTTCATTCGTAAACTCGAGGATTTGGACAATCTCCAACGAAGAGCTTGCAGCACGTATGGTATCACTGCAGAGTTGCTCTCTTTTAGGAAAAAGTGTTTCAACTTGGCATAGTCGAGAGAAACAAATGGTATTGCATTGTCATTGCTATTTTCTTCGTTCCTTGGCTTGGTAACTTGTTGTAGTTATTCATCAGATAAGCCAAAAATACTTACAATCATAGAGGGTAGAATTGACTCCAATTGTAAAGATCCTAACGAGTCCTCAATCACATTTAAAAATTGCTTGTTCAACTTCTTTCCGGACATGACTCCTTCCAATGCCCGAATTAAATCGGTGCTCAATCCAAAAAGTTCTCTATACTTGGTTTGTATAAAGTCCATATGGGCAGTAAACTCTTTTTTCTGTTGCTCGACAACTTGTTTGTATCCTGAGCCATTATTTAAATTCATGGAAGAGAGTAAATTATTGGAACTGGAGGTAACACTAGGTTGCGACTGTGAAGAAGCTAACGAATGAAGATATGGCTGCTCAATATTTCTTGAAAATGTGCTCTCTAAATACGTCTTGATTCTGTCGAATAAATCATTTTTCCATTTGCTCTGTGTTTTTAACAAAATATATTGGTTGGATAGAGGAGAACAGTAAAAAACCTACCTGGAACATGTTGACAAACGAGGGATGTGTGGAGGGTCAGGAATATACGGAAATGCATAATACGGAAGCAGCTCAGAAAAGGTCGACAAAATTGCTGCCTTCATATCAAGGTATTGCTTAAAATCTTGAATGTATTTTCGATGCTCTTGCTTGTCTTTTTTCTCTCTCATTGGAATTGTGGCACAATACAATCGAGTGAAAAATTCAAGTTTGAGCGTCTCTGGATCACTAGATCTCAGCATTGGAGACACATGCTTTTCCCACAAATAAAAATAATTCTTGTAATCACCAGCTTCCAATGAGGACATCATTTCATCTTTGATTTGAGTTCGTTGGGACTCGGGCATTACTTTTGAACGATTATCGATTCTTGCTGATGTTGGCCTTTCATTGAGTAATCTATTGTTAATCTCTTGCTCAAATGTGGCTGATGTTTCAAAAAACCCATGAAAGGTCAAATATCTAGTGTTTTGCAATGAAGAATTATGAAAAGGATATTGACATGATAAATGATTGCATCAAGAGGAATCATTGGTGGGTTTGTTGAAAACAAATAACGATTCGGAAACATACTCTAATATCCATCTATTGAGCTGATGAAGTGATGTCTCACTCGTTTGATCCCTTTTAAAACTCGATGAAAGTGTAAAACTTCTCCGTAGCATTTTCTATTCGGTACGTTGTCAACAGATTCATGAAACAACATGTGGTTCCGATACAACACAACAGTTACAAGCATCAACCAACCTTTCAACGTTCGAAGCAAAACAGAATAATTTTTTGTAGTTGAATTTTGTAAATTGGCGCGAAGTACGACAAAATTCTGGTGGCCAATGAACATTGATGATACTGCGTTGATGCTGTTGGTAAAGCCTGAATGAATGAAATTTCTTCGTGATGATTGTGTGATGGAAGAAAATCGATGAAAACCAGAAGTACAACAACAAATCTGAGATGCGCCTCCCGAAATAAAATTACGGAGTATAACAACACTTCAACCCTGTTGTAACCACAAGAAACGTTGTTGAATGCTTCGGGTTGATGAAAAAGCTCAATGTGGTTGAAGGCCGCTTCAAACATTCACATTTTGTAAAAATTTTTTTTGAAATTTGTTTTTAAAAAATAACACCAACAACATCATCATGAGCTCATTTTTCAAAGCTGCAAATTTCGTCGATAGTGATGAAGAAGAGGAACGTTCTGAAGAGGAAGTCTCTGAAGAAGAGGAAGAACATTCTGAAGATGACCAACAAACAAAGAAAAAAGGTGGATTCTTTGGTAAATCAAAATTGGTAGAGTCATCCGAAGAAGAAGACGAGGAGGAAGAAGAGGAAGAAGAAGCCGAACAAAAAGAAAAGGAAGATGAAACAAAAACTGCGCAAGCAGAACAAGAGGATAAGAGGAAAAAGTGGTTTTTAGATGGCTCGGATGAAGAAGAAGAAAGTGATTATTCTGATGATGAATGGCTGTCATCAGACGAAGGAAGCGTTGCCTCGTCAGTAAGAGCAGAAGTCAAATCACACAGACTGAAATATTTGGACGAATTGCGTGAAGTTACCGAAAAGATTCAAGATTGTATAATGGACAACAACTGGAAAGCAGTCTCCGACGATTTTTCAGAAGTCGGTAAGGTGATTGAAAAGTTGCAAAAACTCGATGAATACAAGGGAAAGAAGAAGGTTCCAAATCTTTATATTCGTTTCTTGGTGTATTTGGACGACAAGTTGGAAGAGGCAAAATCCAAGAAAGATGATGTCAAAACAGCCGATTCAAAACTCATCACAACATTCCACAGAGAACTCAAAAAGACCATCAAGAATTATGAAGATTTGATGGCTGCTTGCAAAACAGAACCTGAAGCTTTCCAAGATACCGAGGATGAAGCTGAGGAAGCACCAGTTGACAACAAGCCACAGAAAAAACCTACAGTCCCTCTCACAGACATCCAAAAGTTGATGGCCGATTTGACATCGGGAACAATCGAAGAAAAGATTGCAGAAATCGGACGAGGAAAGGGATACAAGGGAACCAATGTCAAGGAGTCCCTTCTTCAATTGAAGATTTTGTTGGCTCACACTCCTGAAGCCAAGACTCGAATTCAATTGCTGCTTTTAATTGTTTTAACCCATTTTGATTTGCCAAAAGTCAACAGCAATTATCTTTCATTTGATGCTTGGAAGAATGCTTGTCTTGGATTGATCCGATTGGTTAAGCTTATCGAGGATCATCCAGAGTTGCAAGTTGTTGAGTCCATTGATACCTTGTTGGGAGAATCAGCACCTTCTAATAATGGTGCCACCTCTGAAGCCAATCAAGTGCACATCAAGGGTAATATTGCATCAATTTTGGAAAGATTGTACGATGAATTTATTACTAGCTTACAATACACTGATCCACATACACAAGATTATGTCAAACGATTGAGAGATGAATATCTTCTTATTGAAGCTGGAGAAAGAGTGTATTCCTTCTATTTGAAGAGAAACAACAAGAGAAATCTAGCTCGTGCTGCATTTAAATTATTCGAGCACTTATATTATAGAAAGCAGGATGACCATGAGAAGCTTCTCGCTGCTCAGAGAACAAATGCTTTGAAGGCTCTAGAGGAAGCTCATGCTAACTGGGTCGAAGAGGAGAAACAAATGTTGTCCGAGTCGGTCACAGCAACTGTTGATCCATTCAAGGTTGACTCGCCGGATGTTATTGAACCAAATCTTCCAAAAGTACTCTCTAATTTGGCAACTATAATTTACGAGCAAGGAACTGATCATGCCAAGATACGCACCCTTTTGATGCAAATTTATCACAGAGCTGTCTATGGTAAATTCTTTGAAGCTAGAAATCTTCTCGTCACTAGCAAGCTTCAAGATAATATTCACCACTATGAAATTCCTATTCAAATACTTTTCAACAGAGCCATCGCTCAAATCGGTATTTGTGCTTTCAAGAACGGTTTGATTCAAGAATCCCATGCTGCGTTACTTGAACTCTATGGTTCACAGAAACAAAAAGAGTTACTCGCACAAGGTTTGACAAGCAGCAGATATCAACAAGCTGGATCAACACTTCAAAAGAAGGAGCAACTTGAAAAGATTGAAAGAAGTCGATTAATTCCTTACCATCAACATATTAGTATTGATTTGATTGAAGGTGTCCATTTGATGTGCGCTTTACTTTTGGAAGTTCCAAACATGGCCATGCAATCCTTCTCCAATGTTAAACCAAAAGTGATCAATAAGGCATTCAGACGAGTATTAGAAACTTTCAGTCGTCAACACTATGTTGGCCCTCCAGAAAATACCAAGGAGCACATTTATGCTGCCTACAATGCTCTTTCTGCAGGAGAATGGGAAGAGGCTTACAATATTTTGCTCGGTCTCCAAGATATTTGGAGCATGATTCCTGACAATGAATCTGTCAAGGAAATGTTGAAGAAGAAGGTGAAGGTTGCTGCATTGAAGGCCTACATTTTCAAGTATAGCAGACATTACGAAACCATTTCTGTACAATCCTTGGCAACAATGTTCGATCTTCCAAAGCCCACTGTTTACTCGATTGTGAACAAGATGATTATTGCTGAAGAGTTTTATGCTGCTCTAGACCAAACAAATGATACCATTGTTATTTATCACTCTGAACCTACTCCACTCCAATATCTTGCCCTCCAATTAACAGACAAAATTTCCGCCCTTGTTGAATATAACGATAAGCTTTATGATGCCAAACAAAGTAACACGGCCTATGTCGTCATGACTGACCATAAGCAACAAAAGAGATCCAAGCAAAAGACCACCAACAAGCAAGGTCAAGGCAATCAGAAAGGACCTAGAAACACCAGCGGTGGCAACAAGGGTCCAAACCAAAAGCGAGAAAAGAATACGAAACATCACAATAAGGAAAAGCATCAACAACAAGCCACTCCAGCAACTACGACTGTTCAATAAGACTTCAATTAAATTTAACTTAATCTTATGTCAACCATTGGCTACGTGGAAAAAAACCTTGTAGACGACCGAACAATTTAAGAAGATTAAAATCACTTCATCGAAAACTGTACAAACTTTGTCGTGGCTGTTGGGATTTCACTTATTGATTAGGT